CTTTTAAATGAGCTGCAAGTATTTCTATAACCTTTTCAATGCAAAGTGAGTATTTTGATCATAATACCCATGGATAATACAAACATACCGAATATATTATAACGTCAAAGCTTCTTCAAAAAAAATATTTTCAAAAATTTTCCCTTTTAAAAATAAGTAAAATTGGTCAAAATTTGGTGCTGGGGGTAATTCTTGTCCAATTTTGCTCATCTTGGTCTCATTTTTTTAGTTTTCCTATAATTATTAAAGAAATCAGGGAAAAAATATGAATTTCTAAAAAAAGTTGTTTTCACTCCAATGTAACTCCACTGTAACGTACACTTTCCGAATAGCGTCAATTTCAAAAAATCGGAATTTTTTTTTTTTTTTTTCTTTTTATTTAATTCATTTTATCATCAAATATAGCAACTTCTCAAATACACTTTAAGTCTTACGTAACCTCAAACAACATTAGTGTTATGTCTAATCCTAAACTTACGGAAAATGAATTATTAGACGCAGTCTCTTTGTTAAAGCCCAAAAAAAGTGTAGGTTTCGATTCTATAAGTAGTAATGTCGTTATTAAATCGATAAAATACATCACAATTCCATTATTACATATTTTTAATTTATCTTTAAAACATTGTGTTTTTCCAGAAAACCTAAAACTTTAAAAATTTAAAAATCATTCCAATTTTAAAATCAGGCGATCCTTCTGAAGTTGCAAATTATCGTCCAATCTCAATTCTTAATTATTTTTCTAAAATATTAGAGCGAGTTATGTATAATAGGCTTTATTATTTTTTAAATGTAAATAATATTCTTTACCATTAACAATTTGGATTCAAATCTGGCCATTCCACCGATTTTTATTTCCACCGATTCCATTCGCACAATGTGAGGAAAACCATGGAGAAGAGTAAGGCTTGACCTGTAATCGTCGAGATGGAAAAAAGGATTCCATGCCAGCCTGAATCCACGAAGTTATGTAAGAAGCACATTTGTCAACAGGAAGGCGAAAGATTTCTACCTAGGGTATTCACGAAGAAAATCACGGAAAGAGTCCCAGCCAGCTTTAAGGTAATTGAAAGATGTACAATGATAGGGGGATTCTGATGGTAAAGAAGAATGAGATAATAGTTGCAAAGAGACCAAATCATAATCAGAAGCACCTAAGGGTGAGTGTGGAGAAACTGAGCACTGACTAGGATCAGAAATAAGACATAAGTTGAGTAGAGAAGGCAAATGATTCGGTTTGTCTGGAAAGCGAGTTGGAAAGTTGACTATTTGAGTTAGGGATTGAGAAAGGCAAAAGTTGTGGGCCTTAATGCCTGCGGGGTCACTGACACTAGAGCGAAGCAATTCAGTGTGGTGAACATTAAAGTCACCGACAACAACAATATTAGCTGATGGATAAAGAATGAGGGCTTGGTCAATATAATCAGAAATAACATCAAGAAGAGTGCAGTCTTGAGATAAAGGAGAGCGATATAGAATAAAGAGAAAGGTGATAGAGTGAAGTGGTGCTAACCGAACAGATGAAAAGTTACTTCGAAGACCACGAATATTGGTGAAGGATAGGTGTAGCAAACTTGGTGATGACAGTGGTTTTTTGTGTTTTATAGTTATTGTTACTTTATTCATTTTTAAATTTGTTAAAGAACATGACTTGAAACATAGATAGTACTCAGTACACTGTTTTATAGGCCAAGCAATGGCCTTATTTCCACTAATAAACCCTAAGCCGTAACAAAGGGCTCCAGTGTGGCCTTGGCAATGCACATCAAAAATACAAACAGGGACACCATCCATGCGCAATTTTGTGATTAGAATTTTAATCAGGTTTTTTTATTTCATCCTTTCAGCTAATTCCTGTTACTGCGGATAATAATATCATAAATACTTAATAGATCTAGTTTACCTATTCAGTACTTTTTAGTTAAGCAGCTTTATAAACTATAATGAATTAATTTTTCTTCTTGTTTAATAAAGAAAATCTTATTTAGTCTAAGCTATTAACACTTGTTCGCAAAATTAATTTTAAATATTTTTAAATTATTATAACACTGACAGAATTAACTCGGCAAAAGTTAACTTTTTCATATCAAAAACCTTAAAAAAACAAATAACTTTTTATCTGCAGGCTAAAAAAAGAAGAATATTATAGCAAAAATGCTTTGTTTTTTTTTTTTATATAAGATTTCCAGTGTATGATTTTAACGTTCTAAACAATATAAACATTTCCTGTAATAAATTTTGTGACAACCAAACACGTATGTATATACATTCCGTTTTTAAAATAACTTAATTTTTATGTAGAAAAAACTATGTTTGAAGTCACGTAAGTTTCTTTTTAATAAAACATGCAATTATATGGAAAAAAACACAAACATAAGGATTCAATGTATTTTATATAAATCCCTAAAATTAACGACAAGTGTCAACATAATGCATCACAAAAACATCACATACACAAAAAGACTCTACCCTATCGTCGCCTTTAAAATAAAAAAACCGAAAGTATATTTATGTGACGTCGGGAATATAAATTCTTATTAAAAAGATTAAAATACTCTACAAACCTAACCAACAACATTTAACTTTAATATTACTATACTTTAAATTTCTTTAGGCTAACTAACATTTTACTCACACACAAACATCTATTGCAGTATATTTCATTATACTATATACATTTTTATATCATTTTTAAACTATTTTTTTTTCGTATAGAAATAACACACGTTTTAATATATTTAGGATGTTTTTAAACAACCATTAAAATATTAACGATTTCACAACTGTTAGCTAACAAAAAACAAATTAATAAAAACATTAACCCAACTACTTCGCTATTTCCGTTCCGAAACGATTTAAAATACAAATAAATACCGTAACGTCAACGAAACAAATCGTAGCAAAATTAATTTTTGCTACTGTAGAGAGTGGTATAACATGAAACACTGAGTTTCATAAATAAAGTATATAATATTATAAATATTAGCATATAGCTAATTCCTGGTACTGCGGGTAACAGTAACATATATACTATATAGCTCTAGTTTACCTACTAAGCACTTGTTTAATTATGCAATACTATGTATGATAATATAAAAGTATATATATATATATATATATATATATATATATATATATATATATATATATATATATATATATATATATATATATATATATTTATATATATATATAATATATATATATATAATATATATACGAAATGTAGTATTTAAAATTTATAAAGTTTATTATGATGACAATGAACCATCATTATCATTAAATACGCCATCTTCATCTGCCATTAAGTTACAAAAACAATTACTTAAAAAAATTTTATTCACACCTTTAAAACTAAAAGCATTGATTTGCTAAGGAATAAATGAAAACGTTATTATAATATACAAAATATATTTTCAAAAAAAATTTTATTATATTTCAAAATAATTATATATCACAAAAAATAATTAAAAAACAGAGAATTGTTAAATGCTCATCTAATAAAAGAATAAAGCATTGGCTATGAACCAATCTACTTTTTTCCTATATTTTTGAATTCATTTGTCACAATAACATTCAATTTATAAAACTCTCAATCAATCAATCAACACCAACAACACTTCCCTCTAAATAATTTTTACTTTTAATACCTTTCGTTGTAGCTACGCCGCTTCTAAGATAAATATATGTACAAATATCTTTCTAGTTTAAGAAAATTTCAATTATTGTAAATGAAATTAGTCACGGCTTTTATTCCATCATCGTAAGGGATGTTTGTGTATAAGGAAACTACATCAGCTGTAACCAAATAATAATGATTATTAAACAAGCCCTAATATAGTTATCAATAACATTAATACCTCGTCTGGCATTTACTATTATCAATCTGGCACAATTTATATCTCTCAACTTAATGTAATCCTCCGATTTGATTGAATAATGAAGGAGTTTTTTTGTGAGATCGCAAATTTCAATCAATTGTTACAATAGGCTATATCAAATTGTCTTTTAAAACTCGCTCGCTATGATAAACTGTTGATCCTTCTTCAACTTGCTAGATGTTATACTTATATATCCCTTTTCTTTTTAACATTTACTTAGCTTTTTTTCTTTCACATTTACTTAGCTGGATATCTTTAACTTCTTGTATTTTTTTTTAAAGAGTTTTTCTAAATTTACAATATAAAAAATAGTAGTGATACTTTATGTTTATATTATAAGATGTATAAACCAGGTAAAATTGTAAACTGACCTTCAAACCTGAATTAATTGTCGAAAAAGTGGAAATGGATTTATTAGCTGAGATTGTAGAAGATGCTTACTTGTTTTTTAAAAAAACTAGTATTAAAAATAAATAAAATATATAGTTATACACGCCATTATAATCGCCGTTATTAAATTACAAAACATATCGAAAATAATTTCATAAAATAAACTTTACTAATAACTTTAAAACTAAAATCATTTGTTTGCTGAAAAATAAATTCTAACTCTCGTTCTAAATAAAAAATTTATACAAAATAAATAAAATTTATCTTCTTTCTCTCGTTCTAAACGAAAAATAGTATACAAAACAAATAATATTTATTATGATGACAATGAACCACTATTATCAACATATTTGCCATCATCATTGCTGTTATGTTTAGTTACGTTAAACTTTCGATTGTCTAACTAACACATTTACTGTATTACCCTGATAGAGTGTTTGGATCAAATCGTAATCCAACCATTACATTCTTCGTTGACTCAAAATGGTTACAAATACAATTATGATAATAAAAACTATTAAAATATTTTAAACATATTCATAGACAGACTTTTATATTCAATATATATATGCATTCATGGTTACTTAATATTGAAAAGAGAAAAAAGATTAAAAAAAATCAAGAAGTACAATTAAATGCTTACTTATTAGAATATTAGCGGCTTGGATATACAGGTTCCTAATTTTTCAAAAATTTTTGAAACCATTTACAAGCACAATAAAAAACCATATGAACCAATAACCTCTTAAACCTATAACACCAACAACATTTTTTTCAAAATAAATTTTTTACAGTATTTGGTCAAATTGGAAACTGACTACAGAACTTGAGATAAGAGAGGAAAGGGGGGCAATAGACGATATTGCGGAAAATGCTTTCTCTTTCAAGCATGCATGTTCAAAGATATATGATCATAATCAGTTCATTTTGTATTCTCAAACGATCTAGCAAATAATTATTTTCCTGCCTACTCAGCTCCCTTTCTCATAAATTCTTCAAAACATTAAAACAAAACTTCTCTCAGCATCTAAATAATATTGCTATTCCAAAAAAAAAAAAATAGAGATTTTTTCCTATAATACGTGGGGCCTCATTATACGTAAGACCCCACGTATAACGCTTTGTTCCATAAAAACCAAAAGCAATTCCGGCACTGTAACTATGTAACAAAGTTTGTTATCAAATTACATATTCGACATTGTTTCTATAAAAAACAAATTTGTAAAGCATAAATGAAAATCTGGATGGTTAAACTGTCATCAATTGTGTTGCATTGGTACTCGTATTTAACTTGTTATAAATTTTTATTAATTATATTAAATAAATAAAAATCAAACGATAGCAAATTGTTTTATTACAAGAATGCACAGTGTTATTTTATTTTCCATTTAAATTAAAACAAAGAAAAACAATAAAATATTATATTAATTATTAAGTTACATTTCCTTTTTTTCACAAAATACATTTATGATAAATTTCGTAATTTTTTTTTTTTTCATCTAGATATATATTTAAATTAGAACAACTTGGATCTTCATAATCTTGATTTATGTTTAATTTAGAACAATTGGTTTATCATTATCTTGATTTATTGTTAATTTGGAACAACTTTGTTCTTCATTATCTTTATTTATGTTTAATTTAGAACAACTTGGTTATTTATTATCTTGATTTATGTTTAATTTAGAACAACTTGGTTCTTTATTATCTTGATTAATGTTTAATTTAGAGCAACTTGGTCCTTCATAATCTAAAACAAAATGTTTTGACAAATAAAAACTATGTATCAAAACTACGATTTATATTACATGATTTAATAATTAAAAACGCAATACATAAGATAACCTATCTTCTTCAATTCTATTTATATCAATAGAACATGCACCTCCAATATATTAAAAAAGCAAATTAATAATGATAATGAATTTATTTAATATTAATTTTAATTTGATAAACAAATCTAAAATTACCTAAATCTTTATTCAAAAGCTTTAACCCAGTGTTAAGGATAGACACAATGCCTGGTTGCAATTGATAAGTATTTTCATTTGTGTTTTTAGAGTGGCCCATGTGTTTGTAAAAAGAGTCTTTAACTTTTTCACTCAGTTTGAGCTATTGAATATAATCACTCACTAAATGTCTATCGTTTGTTGCTTTAAAATTTGCTGGGTTTTTTAAAGGCAATTTAGAGGCAACATCATTAATTGCCTTCCAATCATAAGTATGCCTTTCCGAACTTCTTGTGCATGCAAAGAAAAAAATGTTTTCTTTTAAAATCCCGACAGAATTCATTATACTTTGATCAGGTGAAAAAAAAACATCCTTTACTTCTTCTCCGCCATAAAGGTTCCTAAAGTGCACTGATTATCATTTTGATATTTTCGCTTAGCTTCATGAAATGTTGTTGGTCAATATGTTTGTCGTTTAGAGCTTAAAATATTCATACAGTTGAAGCCATGCTGGTTCACCACCTTGCCACCTTAAAGTAAAATTCAAACTTTTTTACATATTACCAAGAACTAAGAGTCATCAGTTTAAAACTAAACTATATGAAATAATGATGTTTACGATTTTAAATTTATACATATTTATAAAAGGTGAGGTAGAAAAGGAACAACTTCAAAAATTAAAGTAAATAATAATAGTTAAAGTAATAGTTAAATTGATAATAATGAGGATAATTAAATACATTCTAATATTATTGTCAAATAATATTATTTGCTCTTCTAGCATTTAATATTGTCAATCTGGCACAAATGATATCACTCAACGTGATGTAATCCTTTGAATTGAAGGAATGAATGAGTTTTTTTGTGAGATCAACAATTTTTGAGATAATATAAGCTCTAATCATTTTAACGTCTTTGATGATTATCTGGTTTACGTAATTTTATTTGTTTATTTTTTATTAATGCATATGACGCATTATCGAAAATGTTGCCTTTACTTAATTTGAAAACACAGTAAAATTTATCTACTTCTAAGGCCTCACTGTCTTGATCCTCCTATAAAAAATTACTTTCATAATTTTAATAGATTAAATAATTAAAAATAATAAGTTTTGTTTAAGACCTGCTTTTATGCCGTTAAACTTTTGATTTGTATAGGCGTCAATTAAATCTGTAAATTGCGTGAAATTTATTCGCAAAAATATGTCAGAAGAAATATTGTTTAACTTTAAAACATTCTCTTGTTGGTAAAAAATATCATATAAATAAGCTAATTGTCTCATTAAATTTCTCAAAGAATTTTTTGAAAGAACAAGCTTGTCTTTATTGTGTTTTTAATCCTTATAGAGGCCAAGAATCAATTAATCATTAATATAAATATCCAAAATATGATAGTATAAAAATGTGCCAAAATTTCATTCTTAAAATTCTTGTACAACTTGACGTTTATCGGTAATCTATTAAAGTCAACAGAAACTAAAGTCATTATTTTGTCGGATTCTTAATGATATTTTTTTAAATGCACACTCCAATTCCTTTTGGAAACAAATTTCAAACAATTGTTAAAATAGGCTATATTAAATTGTCTTTTGCAACTCGTTCTTTATCATAAACTGTTGATCCTTCTTCAACTTGCCGTATGTTATATTTATATATCTTTTTTCTTTTTAAGAGATAAAGCTTTTTTTCTCTCAAATTTATATAGTTAGAGGATATCTTTAACTACTTGCTTTTTTTTTTGGACTCTAATATGTCTTGAAAGACAAGTTTTTATTTTGCGACAAAAAACAGAAAAATTTTTTTTGATGAGGTTTTCTAAATTTATAAAATAAAAAATAGTAATAATATTTCATGTTAAATTATAAGATGTATAAACCAGGTAAAACTGTAAACTGACCTTTGAACCTGAATTTATTGTCAAAAAAGTGGAAATGGATTGATTAGCTGAGATTGTAGAGGATGCTTTCTCGTTTTAAATAAAAAATAGTATTGAAAATAAAGAAATCATTTGTTTGCTAAAAATAAATTCAAACTTTGTTATAATATACCAAACATACTTACAAACAAACATAAAAAATTCATAAAAAAAATTGTACTAACAACTTCAAAACTAAAACTACTTGTTTGCTAAAAGATAAATGCAAACGTTATTAAGTATACCAAATATACTTACAAATTTATTTTCACGTTCAAAGTAAGAAGGCAGGGAAAACAAACAGAATTGTAATAATAATTTTAAAATAAGACCTAAAATGCATAAAATGATCATAAAATATTTTTAAAAAAAGCAAAAACATTTTTATTAAAAACATTATTATAACAGTATTTGGCCAAATTGTAAATTGAACCACCATTATCAACATATACGTCATCATCATTGCCGTTATGTTGTTACTTTAAATTTTTGGATATTCTAACTAACACATTTACCGTATCACCATAAAATAGTGCTTGGATCAAATGGTAATCCAACCATTCACACTCTTCGTTGACTAAAAAGGGTAAAGCAATATTCTACATGTTACAAACACAAATATGATAATAAAAACTAATAAAATATTTTAGACACACTCATGGATAAACTTATATATGTAATATATATGCACTCATGGCTACTTCAAATTAAAAAAAAAAAATAAAAAAAACTTGTCCAGAAGTAAATCAACTTTTTTTAATACTTTTGAATAATTTATTAATTTTCGTGTACAAATCATGAACTTTGTAAAGAATAAAACTTTAACAACGTTGTCTCTAAACACTGACATATTGATTTCTTTTAATTGAAAAAATGCAGCACTTTTATACAAAGAAAAAAAATTAGCATCATTTGGTTGCACTTGTTTTTTCCAATGCTATATATTTGGAAACTCCTTAATTTTATGATTAAAAATCACAATCCACAAACTTCGTACGGGATGAGACTCATACTCGGTCGTTACTGAATGTTTTTTTCATTCTCGTAAGGCACTCTCTCTATCAAAACCAGCATTTGATAATGGTTTCTCAAAATGGTTATTAACTACTTTGATCTCTGTCACTCCATAGTCTTTATCTTCCAATATCCAGTGTATTGGATTGATGAATTTCATGTTTCTCTAAATTATAAATTCACGAGAACAATCTTGAAACCTATTTGATACTAATGCACAAAGTTTGGAAAGAATTGCTTTTTTAATTTTATGTATTTTCTTAATTGTTCTTTCTTGCTCTAAGTTGTTCATCTCCATTGTTATATTAATGTAAGCAAAATTTTTGCTATCAAATAGCGCATTACGAAGCTGTCATAGAATTTATCTGCTTCTCCAATTGATTTTATTTTGCTATTTATTTCCATTAAAGTTCGTTTTATAGTTGTCGAAATTTCGTGTGATAGTAACTCATTTTTTTCAAAAATTTTAGAAGCTGGAATAATAACTTTCGAGCAGTCTAAATATAAACCAACTAGAACATGAAAAGATTGGCATTTGAATAACTTTAATAAACTTTTTCAACAGTTTTCAGATTTTTTTAATCACTCGCGTAATTTTTATAGGTTGAAAGAAAAGCTGGCCACGTGTCGAGTAGATTAAACAGTGCTTTTTTCCTGTGACCAACAAACCTTGTTCCGAGTATTTTTTGTTAACTGTAATAAGTTATTCCTATGACTTTCGCAGCTGCTTCAACTTTATTTTTTAACTTACCTGAGTTTCGTAGCAGGTAATAGTTCGATAATAATAAAACTCAATTTTTATAAAATCTGTTATTTCCTTAAAAGATTCTTTTATTGCCAGATCGATTTAATGGTTTTTGCAATGGATTGTTAGTAACCATTATTGATTTTGTAGCAACTGCGTTAGGATACCATTATTTACACCAAAATTGACGCTTGCATTGTCAGGTGTGGCCGACACTAAATTTTTATTGTAATTTTCCGTACTTATTTTAAAAAACGAATTATCTGACTGAAAAACACTGTTAATACCGGCAGTTATTGCGTTTGAGTTACTGCCACTAAATTGTGAAATTTCTAACAACTCTGCAACCATATAAATGGCATTCCGTTGCGCTCTGTGCGCACAAAATCAAGTTCTTTATCTTTTCCGTTTTTCGTGCTTAACTTTCGTCACTAAGTATAGAAAAGAAATTACATCTTGTGAGAATTAAAAAAATTAGTGAAAATTAATTTCGCTTAATTTTTTTACAGAAACTCTATTTACGTTTGACAATTAAAGAAAATAACTTGTTATTAAAAATAACTTTTCATTTTTAGTTATTTCATATTACATCAAGGTTAGTTTCAAATAAATATTTATTAATTTGGCCGAAAAAAAACAATAATAATATTGCTTTCTAAGCATTTATTATTGTTTTTTTTAATAATATTACATATTAAGATAAAATTTTGTCAAAAAAAAAAAAAAAAAAGTTGCATATTTCATTGAGCAAGTTTTTGTTCTTCAGAAATTTGAAAGTTTATATTAAAGTTAGATAAAAAAGCAACGTCTTCTTAAGACCAAATTTAAGTTGGATGTCACTTATTGATAAAAACAACAAACTCAAAAGGTTCTTTACTATTATCGATAAGGAATCGGAATGGATAGCAAAACAACATAAAGGTAAAAATAATACGAACATTAAAGGTGATGAATATATTGCAATTAAGAAATTAAAAAAAAGATCATGATCTTATCAATAAAAAAAGGGCAAAGGCAGAGGCATTTTGGATAGAAGAGAATACGAAGAAAATTTTTTAAAAATGCCAAAAGATAAGTACACCTACAAAGAGTTAGACAACAATCCTTCACAAGCAATCGTGTACAAGATCACCGTCGAAATTCTATACATGAAAAACGGTCTGACTATTTCGGAAAAAGTTGCGGAATTCATTCTACCAACAACGGAAGTTAGAAACCCTCTTTTTTATGGACTACTCAAATTCGACAAAGAGGGGGTACTACTTAAACCGTTTGTCTCTGGATGCAAAGACCCCACATATAATCTTTCAGAGTATTTAGTCAGGTTCCTGCTACCCATAGCTAAACCTCTACTATTTTATTTTAAAGATTCAACAGAACTACTGAAGATTTTATGCAACATCCCTCACCACGATGGAATAAAAGCTGAGGCTAATTTCATTCACAATAATTGGAAGTCTCTTAAACTTCTTGGTTTTCCACCAAATATAGCAAGCAAACACTTTTGCAAGTTACTTAAACTAATTCTCGAAAATAGTTCTTTCGTGTTCGGACTGCGTATTTTCTATCAGAGGTTTGGAACCTAGATCTAGAATGGCTTCTCCATATACCAACATCTTTTTTTGGTAGCTTGAACATAAAATTGCCCAGATAATAATAACATAATTTTATTTAAAAGATTTAATGATAATGTCCCTTTTTTATTCAAGGGTGCCCCAAGTGAGCTTGAAGTATTAACCCTTTGCGGTCCTACGCGTTCCAGGACATCATAAAATTGCCGTTGCGGTTAATGTCCCGTGCCACGGGCCATCTACTATGTTAATGTTTAAACTGAAAAAATTATCTTTTAAGGGGCATCCATAAATTACGTCACGCTATAAGGGGGAGGGGGTTGGTAGTTTTGTGACGACTCGTACAAAACTTGCTTCTTAAGTATTACGATTTTGTGACGAGGGGGAGGGGGGAGACCAAAATCAGTCAAAAAATGCGTGACGTAATTTATGGAGATCCCTAAAGCAAAATTGTACAATTTACTAGATTCAATTGGTAATATTTTAGTGTGTTTTCAACTTAGTGCTTTTTAGTTATATTTTTTCTATTATATTTAGGGTAAATAAGTTAAAAAAAAATTGGAAATGATAGACAAAATAAATTTTTTTTATTTTGTATCAGTTCAAAGCGTTAAAAATTTTAAAGACCTAAAAGGGTTAAAAATTTTCATGAATGGTTTGCACAAAAATATAAACTTTACTTATACAAGGTCGTTTAAATCCGTCAATTTCATGGATAATTGGAAACATTTTTATGGATAGTTTGGAATAAAACGAAAATGGTACCATCTCTTTCAATCTATTTAAATACCAACTAATACTCTAACTCTATTAAGTTTTTGTTCCAACCACCCCAGACACCAGAAAACTGGGATTACTTATATCAAAGCGTTACGACTAAACAGGCTTGTATCAAAGGCGAACAATCTACGAAGAGAATCAGAGAAATTTTGAGCGAATATTATCAAACTGTATTTCTGAAATAAACATTCAAACTAGCGAAATTCTTATTTTATATATATATATATATATATATATATATATATATATATATATATATATATATATATATATATATATCATATATATATATATATATATATATATATATATATATATATATATATATATATTCATATATATATATATATATATATATATATATATATATATATATATATATATATATATATATATATATATATATATATATATATATATATATACATATACATATACATATATAGGCAGATAGATAGATAGATAAGTTTATATATTATGAATAAAAAAAATATTTTCAAGTATAATATTGTATAAATAAAAAAGTGCTCTATCTGTAAACTAAAGCTAAATATGAGTGTTGTTAATGTTACCCGCAGAATTAGGAATTAGCTAAATGCTAATGTTTATAATATATTACATTTTAATATAGCAACTCTGAGTTTTATGTGTTACCACACTTAAAAGGCTAGTAGTATAATTTCATTTTGCTACTATTTGTTTAGTTGAAGTTGCGGTTTAAATTTGTGTTTTAGATTGTTACGTGATTGAAATTGTCAAGCAGTTAGATTAATGTTATTAATAATTTGTTTTTAGTTGCTAACAGTTGTTAATTAGTTAAATTTTTTAACGGTTGTAGAAAATTATTCGTTAATGTCATAATGTGCATTATTTGTATATTAAAAACAAAAATTATTAAAAAATGATATAAAAATATAAATAACATTAAACCATATATTACAATATATTTGTGAGAGACTTATTTAATAGTTAGCCAAGAGATATATGAAGTAGATTAATATAAATGTTATTAGCTTATTTATGTTACTACTACCCCCAGTACCAGGAATTAGCTACCCGCTAATGTTTATAATATAATGTATTTTAATACTGCAACTAATTGACAATCAACAACAATATTTATTTTTAAAAATTTTTTACCTTAAAAACGTCAGAAAAAAATGGACAAAAAAGTAAATAAATGAACAGCGATAATGCAGTATTTTTGAAAGGTAAAGAGAACATATTATATAGAAAGCTATTTATTAAAAAATTTGTCCTAGAAGGGGCGTAACTACGACGAACTGAAATAAAATGGAAAATTATTTTGAGAAAAATGCTGTTGATATTTTCGATTTGAGAGTTTTAAGGTTTTTAAATTGAGTGTTTCAGTGACAAATTAATTCAAAAACATTAGAAAAAAGGATAATACTTTATTAAGTAAGCATTTAGTAATTAATTCATTTCATTGTTGTTATTGATATATTGTATATAACATGTAACATACAATGCACATTACATCATCTATTTATTTTTAGAATGGTCGTTAAAAAGAGCAAAATTTCTCGTGTCATCATTGAAAAAAAAGTAAGTAAACCGTAAAGCCCGAACACCATCGTACAAATATACATAAAGAATGTAACAGCTGTTGTTAATGCAAATGTTTATAGATATACAAAGCTAATCTATTATGGCTTTGTTATTAAAATACTAGTTTTATAATTAACATTTAATAGATTTTATCGTCTAAACTTTTTTAGAAGCTGTTTTATGTGTATTGATTTTAAAAAATGATTAAAAGTTAATAAATAATTATGAATATCAGATAATAAAAAGTAAAGGCCGGATTATGTGTATTAACTATTGTCGTTGTTTACTAAAAATTAAATTAATATTTACTATTAATTGTTATTTTAAGTTTAAGGAATAGATGCATCAAAGTGTACGTAAATCAAATGATGTGAGCGGAAGAGCAACAGAATACAACGACTAATTTTAGTCTTACGGGCTGAAAAGTGTACATAGGATATTTTCCTTTCTCTCGTATGATTTTTTTCAGTAATTGAGATTTACGTACTTAAAAGTACTTTTTTAAAAAAATTTGTAACTTTAATAAAAAATTAAGTAATAGACGTTTTTGTAAGGGGCTGTCCATAAATTACGTCACGCAATTTTTGACCGTTTTTGACCCCCCCTCCTCCCCTCGTCACAAAATCGTAACACTTAAGAAGCGCGTTTGGATTTTTATTTTAGTACGGATGATATCAGTTTTACTGTTGTGTGTATAATTACTTTTATGAAACTATTTTTGAAATTTTTTGTTATTTATTCACGACAATGATGATTGCGAATATAATGGTGATGGTGATTTATTGTCATCATAAAAAATTTTATTTATTTTAAATACTATTTTTTTGTTTAGAACGTGAAAGCTTTTTCCACATTTTCCTCCATTCACTTTTTTTCGTCATTTAGTTCAGGTTCAAAGGTATACAATTTTACATGGTTTCCTCATCTTATGAGTTACACATGTAATATTATTACTATTTATTTTTTTTTATAAAGTTTAAAAAATTCTTCGAAAAAAAGATTTTGCAAATATTGTTAGAAGATGAGAACCTGTTTGTCAAGACTCATCAGCAGAGCACATAAAAAAATAGAGGAAGTTAAATATATTCTTAAATTGGATAATTTTGAAAGGAAAAAAGCCTTATCAGAATCAAAAAGGAAAGGAGTTTAATATTAAACAAGGTTTAACCGTGTATGATAGGGAAAGAAATGCAAAAGACAATTTAAACATAGCTTACTGTAACAATTGTCAAATAATTTTTTTTAAAAGGAATCGGAATGTACATTTAAAAAGATGTCTTCAAGAATCCGACAAAATGATAACTCCAGTTTCTGTTGGCATCCATTACCAAAAGGCGTTAAGTTGGACGAGAATTTTAAGAATGATATTTTGGGAGAGTATTTTGAAGTGACACAATAATTTCTCTAAATAGCTAATATAAAATAGCTAAAAAACTAAATAGCTAAAATGAAATAGCTAAAAAAAAATAGTTAAAAAAACACATTTCGTTTTTATTTTCATATAACATCAATAAAACGTTACGGAGGCGGTTATGCCCCCACTCTCCCTAATTATTTTTTCTTAACAACATACCAACATTTACAAATATTTTTTTATAATTACACTGCTATTTTATTACAATTTAACATTTAAAAGGTAATACTTAGCTACTGTTATGGTAATGTCATTTTAAGGTGTAATAAATGAATATTAAAATAGGTATAACACGAAAGTTTAATTTTGTCACTTAAATGTGCCAAATAATAATGCATCTTATTTTGGGGCGGGTTAGGGCAGCAAATAAATGGTAATAAACTGTTTTATAACATGTAAGGAAGCCAACACACTTGGTTTTATGGATGTAGACATACGTATTCGAGCGTACTATTTGGTTGCTATGGAACAAAATTTTACATAGCAACAACTTATTTTCACATTAAGAGTATATTATCAGTTTTTTATTCGCGCTATGTACACTATATTAAATACTTGTATTAAAATGAGATTCACACTTCTTACGGAAGTCTTAATTTTAATTGGTTGCTATGGATACCTAATTTTTTAAATTATTTCTGCATAACAATAGTAGTAATTGCTATTTCATTAGATTTTAACATTTAAAAGGTAACCCAGTAAACATTGAAAAATTGGCTATATGATTTTTTTCGCGATTTTTTAAATTCGCTTTTGCACTTTAATTGAAAGTGCGAATATTATAAATGTTTTGAATATTGCTTAATAACAAAGTATAACTTTTTTTATAACATCTAGTTACTACTCAATAGTGATTGATTGTATAGCAGATTTTACCAGTCAAACAGTACTACTGCCCACACAAAGTATTATATTATTTATAGATAACTTAGTTGAATACACAAAATTAACAAACTTTTAATAATTATACTTTTATTTCCAGATCATTTAAGAGAAATATTTACAATTAAAAAACTAAAAATATTTTAGTATTATAGTTATTATTATTAAAGGTTTGAAATTATTATTAGCAGCTTTAATTAAAAACAATATTTTAAAACGCTAGTATTTAAAAACGTGACAATTTAGTAGATAATTAATAATGATAATTAAGATAAATTAGAACTATTAACAAAACCAAGATAAATAAGCTTTTATAAATTTGCAAAAGAAAATAATAACAAAATATTATTTTTATTAACTGCAATTAATTATTTATAAGCTTGCTATTCTTCTGTCTATTTATTCGCCCACCTCCCTGATCTGTTGCTCTCTGTCCCATCTCCCTGATCTGTTGCTCTCTGTCCCATCTCCCTGATCTGTTGCTCTCTGTCCCATCTCCCTGATCTGTTGCTCTCTGTCCCATCTCCCTGATCTGTTGCTCTCTGAAACCACCTTTAAACGATCGGGTAAATATCTTTATCCTTGGAATTCTTACTGTTGCTAAAAGAATAAAATGAAAAGAAGTTTAAAAACTTAATTTATTTTTTGGTTAAATATAAATTGTTTTTTAACTGTTTTTAAGTTCTTATACGTATACTTTGCAAATCAAGAATTACAACAACTGGTTAGCAGTTTTGAAAGTATATGCATATGATAACCGAGAGCAATAAGCTTATAGGTTCAAGACAAACTTCTATATGATCTTTAAGAATCACATAGCTGAATACTAATAAATCATGGTTTACATTGGCAAATAACGTCACTAGTAGCATTAGTAAGATCAAGACACCAAGGAAGAATACAATATAATACAAATTCACAACTAATGACAACACTAATAATTGTCATTAGTTTCGGCATATTATATTTTTTCTTAGTGTTATAAACATATTTTTGTAACTATAATACAGTTGTCTTCGTTAAAATAATAAAAATTCACATAACTAGTCATACTTACACTATAATACAAAATGATAACTTCGCAACTTAATCTTCCCCATTCTAGTAGCTATCATTTACTTGAAGATCCGTTAAAATTACATAAAACGCTTAAGTTTTTTGAAAAGACGACTCCCAACACACGTCGTATTTACTTTGGATGTTTACCGCCGATAGAACACAGATATTCGACCTAAAAACAAATTATGCTACATATTACAACTTTTTTTTATTTAAATTATTTTTTCAAAATGTAATGTAATGCGGTATATATAACTTAAATAAATATAACTTAAGTGTTATAAAATATCTATTACTAAATAAATTTACCTTATAATAAATTACAATTATAAGACTTAAAAAAAAACTTACCTTAGATCTTATAAAATAATAATTACTAGTTTAAGTACAACCTGTTAACTGGTAGAAACATAATATAAAAAATAATTTTGAATTAAATAAAGTCATCTCAGATTTCGTCTATAACTTAAAGTTAAATACATCAAAATCTTCCTTACTTTCCATTGGAAGGTCAAGGGGAACAACAATGTCTTTATTATCCAAAAAACTCTGAACTTCTAAAAACTTATTTTTTTGCTCAAGTTCTGTTAATCTTAACTCCAAAGCTAACTTCTCTATAAACATACATAAATAATTTAATAATATTCCATTGCATTTGATTCTTATTGGAAAACTGGTTTCAAAAACACAATCTTGTTACCAAATTGATAAGAGGAAGGTGTTATGGAACTAGGATGTTTGGAGTTAGTTTTAAACATTCATGTTATTTGTCATTGTGGGTGAACTGATTGCTGTGAAAATGGTATTTTAGCACATTTTTGTGCCGTGTTATTATGTTCACGTGAAAGAACGCTAAATAAAACCTGTATATGCATAATAAAGTAGAAATATGTATTTTTGCAACATGAAACATGTATTTTTTTAACGCCTTTATCCATTTATGTCTTTAATTAAAGTACAAACTTTTTTTTTTACAAAAAGGATCAGTCTGGTACCTGTGTTATTATTATAATTGTAATTGTTATTGTTATTACTACTGTTATTATTACAATGATTATTACTGTATTATTAATATTAATTTTATTATTATTAATTTACTATTTAGTTTATACATATTTATTTTAATTTTTAATTAAAAAAGTATTATTTGCATTTTATTGTAAATAGAATTAGGAAAATAAGATAACAGAAAATATAAAGAATAAAAAAATAGATATAACAGTCTAGGTCTATCAACACAAAAGAACAGTAACTATTGCGCATAGCATAAAATATTTGTAAGCACACATTGCTATGTGTCTCCAGAGTAATTAAAAAAGAAAAGATAATAAAAAAGCTAGACAACACAATGTAGTAACAGTGGCAAAAAATACCACAACTTAATAAGATATTTTATCAACTAAAATACTTGGACTAAAAAGATTTTATTTATTACAATATTTGAATAATCGAGGGACAATTAGTTAAAAATCAATTGTGGTATTTAGAAACACGTAAGAGAACAGTAATTACATAAGTTTTATTAATTCTCCCTCTTATCTAAGAGAGAGGGAGAGAAAGAAAGCAGCATGTTAAAAAAAATTAAAAAAACACGCAATAAATAGTAGTAGCTGGTTTACTGTTACCAGTAAACAAAATTATTTTTACCCAGATTAAAAGTTAATTTCCAGCATTTCTTAATTAAGCTCCAGCTTCTCTCTAACTGTTGACTAATGATTAATAGAGTAAATTTCACATCATATTAAATTTACAAAATCAAAACCATGTTTCAACAGTAAGCTAATAATCAAGTGATGACAAAGGCAACTGAAAAAAAAAACAAAAAACATAATTATGCTTGAAATTAAAAAAACATTTAAAATCATTTAAATTTAAAACTGTTATTAATTGTTACTATAAATAGTAAAACTAATACTTTGCTTTGCTCTAAATTGTTTTAAGTAAAATCAAATAAACAGACATTAACACGGCTTGACACTGAATTCTGGCAAGTAAGAAATGCTGCTTGCCAAGCAGCATTTCTTACATATAAACAACGATTACCTTCATCTTGCCTAGATCTATCTCTTTTACTTGACAACAACTATTTTCAAGTTATCTATTAGCATTTACATTAATAACTTCTTTAAGTCTAATATTATCCACTTCAATTTCATTATTATCATTAAGTTATACCAGTTATACTGTGTGAAGTGACTAAAAAACACTTCAGTTCTTTCCAATTGTCCTAAAAAATAGCTTTCAGCTCTTTCCAAATTGCACTAAAAGAAAAAAAAAAAACAAGCTGAGCTAAATTATCTAGTTCTAAAGAATCTGAAAACAAATAAGTAAAAAACTAGGGGTGTACCGGATTGGAAATTTTGAATTCTGGCCAGAATCCGATTTGCGAGAATTGTTAATAAAATTCCGACCGGAACAAGAGTTACAAATAGAGATTGTACATGAAGCACATAGCCTCTGATGAAAGGAGGGGGGGGGGGGTCTGCAAATGGCGTATATGAGATGGGGAGGCAGAGGGTCAATTATAAAAGTAAGGAGACTAAATTGTAATAAAAAAAAATGTTTGGTAAGTAGGTTAAAAACGTAGGTACTTTTAGGGAGGTGAGGGTACTCTAAAAAGCGTACAGCAAAATGCATGGGGGAGGGGGAGGGGGCTTTAAAGAGGGTAAAAATAAAACTGTACAAATTTTATGTAATTTTTTACCTTCAAAATTGAAAGTGAAAGCCTGCACCTCAGCATAGTGGCAACATAAAATATGTTTATAACCTATAATATATATATATATATATATATATATATATATATATATATATATATATATATATATATATATATATATATATATATATATATATATATATATATATATATATATATATATATATATATATATATATATATATATATATATATATATATATATATATATATATATATATATATATATATATATATATATATATATATATATATAACATATTTCATTAACTTGATTCTTGTTGTATTTAAATCTAAAATTTTGTTTTTATTTGTTTCTTATAATTTTACTTCATGAAAGTTTTAACCTGTATAATATTTATACTTAAAATTATTTCTTTTTTTTTTCTATTTTTTCATTTATATTAAAATTGAAATTTTGTATATTAGGCATATACTATACTTTTAATTGTTTAAAATTAAAGTAACATTTAAAATAAGACTATACTATTCTCAGAGGCAGGTAACATTTTTGATGCAAAAAAAGCTAGTTTGTTGCCCAAAAGTGGATAGCAACTCTTTTTGCACCACAATATTCCTAACCTTCTAACAATCATTCATCATAATTCATTACTGCAAATAAAATACATAGTGTTTGTTATCAATTTTATCTAGGTTTACCTATATTTTTTTATTCCCCTTTATGACAAAGATTTTTTGATTTAATTTACAGAGTCTGTGTTACATGTCTTAAAAAATAAAGGTAAAAAATAAATTCTGGGATTCCGGCCTGAAAAATATTAATTTCGGTCGGAACCGGAATGACCTCAAATTCAAAATATCCGGCCGGAATTCCTGCACATCCCTATAAAAAACCAAGAACAAACAATCATTTATTTAAAACTTAAATATTTAAACAAATTAAATTTAACAAAGAACAACATCAATTCTCCTTAAAGGCTAAAAAAGATTATTTAGCTCAAATTTGCTTGCAGACCTTGCTTGTAAAACCATGTGAATTAGAAACACATTTAGAAAAGCCTAAAATCACATATACATTATTGAAGTTTAGACATTGACTAGACTAATTATTAGATGTTTTTAAAAAATTCATTAAAATTTACAATACTTTATTTTTCTATATTGCATAAATCCATCATATGATAAATCTGTAATAAAAAAACGTAATGAATAAGTAAATACAAAGAAAAACATTCTACTATATACGCACATATATATTTTAGAGCTAAAATGTCTAATACAAATACAACAATACATCATAAAAATAAATTTAAAACTCTAACAAATGTCAAAAATTATATCTGAATGTGTAACTAATAGATAAAAGTAAAATATTTGTATTTACCAGCTGTTATATAAAAAGGTGAAGGAGAGTTTGAGTTTAAAAGTTTTGCTAAAAGGTAAAAAAGCGTTTAAAAGAAAAAAAATTGCTTCAAATTAAACTAACTCTATTCATTTAGACCACGCAATTAAACATTAAAATACATTTATAAAACTTACAGGACAATTCAAAAACACACAGTATACAGTCAGTTAATGGTTGGCATGGAATGCCAACAGTTAACTATAGCCAATACTGGGCCATCAGTTGGACCAACTAAAGCGTGTTTACTGGGAATACTTAGACACAGTTATGGATGCTAATTAAATTTTAAGCTGTAATAAATGAATATTAAAATTGGCATAACATAAAAGTTTTTTTTCATTATTTAAATATGGCTAACTTAGCTTTTGCAGTTACATGATTGATTGCCTTTTTAGGTGGCTCTATTGTTTGTACAGAGCTACCAATGGTATTATATGCCAAAAAGTTTGCACAAGATATATGTTAGGAGAATGGTCTTGCCTATAGGCATAATCTCTGAGTAGGAACAGGAAGCATGAAACAAAGATTTTAAATGTTTCTGTGAAAATTGCAAACGCAAATGCAGTCACTTGCTAATTAGACCCAATAATCAGCAGTATGAGAAGGTCAAATTCTCAAAATCCCAACTCCCAGAAAGAGTTAGTGATTTGCTTTAGGCAATGTTAAATATTTAATATTTAAAAGTTTTTGAAAATAGGACAATTGAAAATCCGATACAAATTTATTAAAAAAAATAAATTGAATTTAAAATCATTAATCTGTGTGTAACTAAGAAAAGTATCTGGTCATTAAGCAATGTAGGTATCCATAGTAACTAAATTTAAAAAGTGCTAAATTAAGTGAATGTAGCACTCAAAAAAATCTGCAACTATCAAAATAGGTTGTTGCTATGTAAATTAGGTATCCATAGAACTAGATAACCGTAGCAAACAATTGATAATTATCCCCCTCATAAGAACCTCATATTAATACCTCATTCTAATGCTAGTTTTAATGTATATAACACACATAAAACATCAGCAGCCACCAAAAATAAGTTGTCACTAAGCAAAATTAGGTATCTATAGTAACCAAAAATAAAAATATCCTTTTCGTAAAAGCACAGATCTCATATTAGTATTCATGCCAAATTTAGTAAATAAAGACCAAAGATTTAATTAGTTCATCACAAATCTCATAACCTACTTCTCATCTCGAATCTCATAACCTACTTCCTAATCATCAATATGGATTTTGATCTTCTCATTCTATGGCTGATTTGTTATCAATAATAACCAATAGGTTTTATCGCGCATTAGATAAAGGTGGAGAGATTAAGGCCATTGCTCTTGACATTTCTAAAGTGTTTGACAAAGTTTGGCATGCTGGTCTTCTCCATAAGCTTTCTTCTTATGGTGTATCTGGAAACATCTTAAAGGTTATTGAATCCTTCTTTTCCAATCGCAGTATAAAAGTTGTCCTTGATGGACAGCACTCTTCTTCTTATTCTGTAACCTCAGGTGTTCCCCAAGGTTCAATCCTTGGCCCTATACTCTTTTTAATTTACATTAACGATCTCCCAGATATTCTCACATCTAAGGTGGCATTGCTCCCTGATGATACTACCATTTATTCTTGTCATGATAAGAAGCCAACTCTCTCTGATTGCTTGCAGGGGGTATCTGAGATTGAAAAGGATCTCACTTCTGCTACAGCATGGGGCTCACAGTGGCTGGTGAACTTTAATTCAGATAAAACTCAATTTTTTTCAGTCAATCTCAATAATTTAGACCTTCCTATATTTATGAACGGTAATGTACTCGATGAGTCACCTACCCTTCTAGGATTAAATCTTACTTCTGATCTTTCTTGGAAACCTTATATCAAATCCGTTGCAAAATTAGCATCTGCTAAAGTTCCTTTTCTTTATCAAGCTCGACACTTTCTTACTCTGGATTCTATTCTCTATCTCTATAAATCTCAAATCCGGCCTTGTAATACTGTTGCCATATCTTGGAATACTGTTGCCATATCTGAGGCGGATCTTCTAATGATGCCCTTTCTCTTTTAGACAAGGTGCAAAAACCCATTGTAAACATAGTTGGACCTGCTCTTGCAGCCAACCTTCAACCTCTGTCACATCGTCGTAATGTTGCTTCTCTTTCTCTTTTTTACTAATACTATAATGGGCACTGCTCTAAAGAGCTAGCGTCTCTTGTGCCATCTACAAAAATTCATTCTCGTGTTACTCGTTATTCAATTAAGTCTCATCCTTTTTCTGTTACTGTTTCTAAGTGCTCCAAAAACTCTTATTCATCTAGTTTTTTTCCTCAAACATCAGTTCTTTGGAATTCGCTTCCTTCATCTTGCTTTTCTGATTTATATAACTTGCAATCTTTTAAGTCGTCTGTCAATCGTTATCTTGCTCTACAATCTTCATCTTTTCTCTCTCAGTAACTTCCAACACTAATTAGTGGTTGCTTGCAGCCTTGTTGAAAGCGAATAAGTTTAAAAAAAATAAAAAAAAAAGTTATCAATTTTGTCCATTAAAAGTGAATTCTGGCCCACTGTGCGCAGACGATAAAACATGGTTAGTTTTAAACGCATAAATTTTTACTGTAAAAAGGTTTTTAAAACTAAAGCAAAATTAATTAGGAATACATGATGAAAATGTAGGAAAGTTGGGACGAAAAATTTCAAGACAAAAATTTAAATTTTGTTTGGTTTTATTATATCTATTTTATTCATTTTAGTAGATTTTGTGCCACAGTAACATGTAGTTTAGTAGATTTTGTGCCGAAAAACATGATGACAGCGCATTGCTAACTTTTCAGTCAAACAATATGTTACACACAATATTATTGTTGGTAATCTGTCATGATCTATATGTTGTCTTAACTCATTAACTACTTTAGATAATTTGTAAAATCTTTCTTATGAACAAATTTCAACAAAAATAAATTAATTATTAAACATCAAAAACGATAAAGGTTTTATATTATTCAATAATTGTTATTTATCAAAATTGACCAATTGGGAATATTCCCAGCTGGCACAGGGCGTAAAAAAGAAGCATTATGAACGTTCAAAAGACGTTCTGAATGTTTAAAGGGCATTTAAAAGATGTCTTTTTTACATCCTGTGCTGGTAACGGCTGAGTTATTTGTTTCAATATTCATTAGTTTACAAAAAATGCTGTTTCTAAATAAAAATAACTTACTTAACCATAATATAAAGTTTAAAAAATGTCTTTTTTACGTCCTGTGCAGGTTTCGGCTGGGTTATAGGTTTCAATATTCATTAGTTTACAAAAAATAAAATCAAACTTTGTGAGAAAATCTTTTTATGTTGTTTACCTTTTTAAGTTATCAGGTAGAAATTAATTATATCAGATACACATAATTTATTATTAGATACACATTATTATTCAAAATGGCAACATTATTATTATATGTGCTCGGATCTGATATCTCACTCCATAGCACATCATTAAGAGCTAAGAGTGATGGCTTGTGGCCTACATCGCACATTATCACATTATTACTTAGTAATTGCTCAGTTTTACGTACATAAAAACTGAAGCAAAATTGTTAAAGCTTTTATTCATGTAAGGCTGACCAATAACTGAGTAAAAGCGTTAGTTCATTTTTATTCACTTGGCCTAATATGGCTATTCTTTCAGTAAATCAAATTTAAAAAAAAATAAAACCAAATCTTTGTGAAAATTATTGCATTTCTTTCATTAAATTAAATATTTTTTCCTAACCAGAGGATAAATGATAATACTACGATTAACCAAATTTGCACTGTGACACTAGAACAATTTTTAATTTATTCTATTTACTTTTCAGATAAAAAAAAAGAAACTTTTGATAACTTGTTATTATACATTATTTATTATACATTAAGGGTTAAATGGGATAAAACTATAAGGGAAATAAAGTGTGAGACTAAATTAAAATCACGCCCAATTCCTAAAAAAAAAATTATGCAAGCATGTGATGCAAAACTAGAAAAATCCCAGAAAAATATCACTCCAATAGTTTTTTTTTATTTATAAAAGGGAGGGGACAAATAAAACACGTAGATGCTATTTAGAAATGCTTAAATGTATTAAAAAAAACAGGAGGAGGGGTAGTCAAAATTATAAGACTTTACAAGACATACATACTTTATGGAATAACACTAAATTGTATGCAAAAAAGATGGAAGCATAGGGGGAAATTTTTGAATATACTGAGTCGATTCCACTTGTTACATTAAATATAACTAAAAGATAAATTTTGTGGACTTTTATATCACTGCTATCACTTATAAAAGTAGTTAAACAACAGACTATTCTTGGAGTTTTATAAGGATATAGATAAAATGATTTCAATACTTTACCTGTAAAATAGAAAATAAATTCATTTTTGTTTGCATAGATTTACCACTACCTGGGAGGCCAAACTCCCCAAAAGTTGTATTCATAATAAAAATGTTAATTTTAAATCATAAATCAACCAAACAACACTTGTGATATCTCTAAAAGTAATACCTTTTAATTTTCGATTTCTGCAGAAACCACAGTGGCAACTTACTCAGCTGCTAATGCAGAAGTTATGGAAACATTTTCTAATTATTACAAAAAAACTTTCAAAACAAATAAATGTGAATTTCATGGGGTCTAGAGATAAGGATGGCATAAATAAATGTTTGATGTTTATTTGGTACCTGAGATTACAGAAATTTATTCAATATGTGTAATTTCGCTCTGAGGTAAAATTATACAATTAAAGTTAAAAAAAAACTTTTACTTGAAGCAAAAAAAATTTAATTTAGATAAGATTAAATCGACTGTTAATCTTTAAAGTTGTATGAGTTCTTTGAAATATAATTTTTTGAAATGTAATGTCGTAAATTTCTTTCAACAAAAATAAAACAAAAAATAAATAAATCTTGTAAGAATTCCAATTATTAACAAGTTAAAAAAAAAAATTTCTCATTTACTAAATTAAAAACAAGAACGAAAAAAACTAACCTTTAATTAGTTACAAATACACACAGCTACATATTTTTATTTGCCAATCCAAGAAATTGTTTCTCAATTCAAGAAATTGCCAATCCAAGAAATTGTTTCTCAATTCTCAAAATGTGAAGAACCAAGTAATTTGCAATAATGAAGTTTTAAAACACATTCAAAATTATTTTTTTAATTGATAAGCATTATCAAATAATTTCAAAAAATCAATTTCAAAAACCATTGGTAAAAAAAATTAAAAAAAGTCACTGGTAGTACAATGCTCAATGTGTATGAAAATAAAAACAGTGAAGCAATAATAAATGCTGATATCTTATTTCTTTTTTTATAAAGAAAGATTTCAATCTTCCATTTAATTATCTATATTTAACATTATCACAAAAATATAATTTTTAATATTATCAATTTTAACATCGCCAATTTTGAATTTCATAAATTTTAACATCATCAGTTTTTAATATCATCAATCAATGACTTTTGGATTTTAAATTAACTCTTGCAAGTTTTTAAATTTTTTCTTACAATTTCTAAAAACATTAAAATTAAGAAAAAATTCTTTAACTCAGAAAAACAAAGTAAAGTAAAAATGGCAAAATCATTTTACACTCCTTTAAAATTAATAAACTGAGGATGGGGGTGGTGGGGTCCTAGTAACGCTTTAGAGAGGTTGGAAAAAACAAACAAAATATTATAATTATTCTAAAAGATAATTAAACAATTTGTACAGCATGAATAATAAGACAAATTATTGGATTCGATTATGTAATAATCAATGGTGGTCAATTACATAATAATCAATGGTCTCAGTAAATGTTTATCCAATTTTGTTCAAAATTATTGACTTGTAAATTCATGATTTTTTGAGGTAAAATAAAGACTGTGGCCCAAGGTCCCGAGTAAAAACTTTAATTGAATATAATTAATTTATCTTAGGTCTACTGAAAAAAATTAGATTCATCAATTGTCTCTCAAATGCTTGATCAAAATTTGTGTTTAAAAATTGTGTCTTTTTAGAAAAATTTAAATTTTGTAACAAAAGCAATTGAAATAGTGTTATTTATAGACTATTTTAGAACATTTATAGTCATGGTCCACACATACAAATCTCCTTGGATTTGTTTTATATATATATATATATATACATATATATATATATATATATATAAAGCTTTTATTCATGTAAGGCTGTATATATTCATGTATATATATATATATATTCAATATATATATTCATGTATATATATATATATATATATATATATATATATATATATATATATATATAACATAAAATGAATTAACAATAAATATTTATTAAAATTCAATTTAAAAACATAATTTTTTATATTGTAAGTTTGAGAAATAAATTATTTGCATAATTTTAAATTGATAAATACCTCTTATTTCAAAGTAAGCACTCATAATTGAGATCTTATCACGATTTTAAAAAACATTTTCAGCTTTTCATTCAAGGATTTGAAAAAAAGACAAATTATAAATGCAAAATAGGTAAATAAAATTATAACAAAATTATCTTAAATGTATTTAATTTTTTTTTGTAACCAACTGCTTATATTCTCCAAATCTAAATGAGATATGTATAAAATTAGGCATTCATTTTTGTTAAGATTTTCTTTACAGTTTTGCAAGTATCTACTTTATGTTTTTGCAATATATGAACGAGTGGTGATGTTGTCAATGCTGTCACATAATAAATCATTAAATTCATCTAGTGGCTATGATTGTGATAGCGTTGTACGATCAGTACTCTGCAATTGCTTGAATGCTACATCTTCTTAGAGCACATGGTCCATAAACTCCTGCACTAAAAAAATTTTTAATCCTTTAATACGAGGACATTGGTTACATCAATGCAACATATATTCTGCATTTTCAAGAGAACAAACAATCAATGTCATAAAATCTTTATAACTTTTATTCTACCTAATGCCATCAATGAGAAATTTTGTATTTTGGTGATGCATACACATACATTATGAGTACCTGACACATTAGTTTTAATGCGCTATTTAGGGTTAAGAGTACAAAACTTTGACAAACTGACTTTGGCATTAGGGTAGTCATTTTTAAATGCAACATTTAGTTCGTTAAGATTGAGTAGCAATAATCTTTTTTGAACAACGTTGGTTTTTCTTAACACTTACAAGTTCCTTTAATGATATGTTTATGAGACCATTTTTGCAACTCTGTTAATAGTGTTCTTAAACTTTTGTTTCGATGCAGGCAATTAGCTGTGTTTTGAAAGACTTTTTAGTTTGACTGGTGAAATTCCAAGCAATTCTACAGTGGTATCTAACTTAATTTTTTTCTCACGTAAAATAGTGGTATCCAAACTTAATTTTTTTGATTCCCATTCACCCTGTGAATTGAAGTTTTCATCAGTTTCTGCTGCTTTTTTGTAACATTTACTGCAGGTTTTTAACCTGGGGTTACATAAACGTTATTTTAACCTGGGTTACATAAACATAACCTGGGTTACATAAACATTATTTTAAGCTGGGGTTACATAACAATCTTGCAAATATTTTGCCAAGTCTTTATATTACCTAAGAAACAAATTAAGTTTTAAGTTTTAAAAATAACTAAAAATATAATTTTTTTTATAAATAACAATTTGTTTTTGTTTTGATTTCCATATCAATTCTGTTGCAATTAATGTTAGATTACCTTTTGTAGCAAATTTTTTACTTTTCTTGTGTGTTCCAAAAGGTTTGCAACACTTTGTAATTTTTCTCTCAAAATATTTTTTATAGAATTGCTCATGATAACAGCATATAATTCTTATTAAACAATATTTTTCTTTTAAATTTGCTCGCCATATTATTTCGTCTTGTTTATCACAAGGAAGATCTTTGAACTGAACATAACATTGTTTTCTAAAAAATCCAATTTTGTGGTAATAAATGTGAAAACTTTTTCCATTGTCGCATTTCTCCATATTAAATATGAATATTATTTATAATATTACATGCCAAAAAATGAAAAAATAATAAAATTCACAATCATTCTTTAAAATAATACAAGCCAGTATAGTACAACCTTTAAAAAGAATAAAACAAATCACTTGCTTATTTTTTTATATAATAAGAGGTAAGCATTCACCAATTTAAATTGAAATAATGAAAATAAATTGTTTCTCAAACTTTCAATTGAAAAAATTGTTTTTAAATTGAACTTTGATAATTATTTATTATTAATTCATTTTATGTATATATATATATATATATATATATATATATATATATATATATATATATATATATATATATTTATATTTATTTATATACATGAATATATATTTATATGAATATATATATATATATATATATATATATATATATATATATATATATATATATATATATATATATATATATATATATATATGTATATATATATATATATATATATATATATATATATATGTATATATATATACATATATATATATATATATATATATATATATATATATATATATATATATATATATATATATATGTATATATATATATATATATATATATATATGTATATATATATACATATATATATATATACATATATATATATACATATATATATATATATACATATATATATATATACATATATATATATATATATATATACATATATATATAAATATATATATATATATATATATATATACATATATTTATATATATATATATATATATATATATATATATATATATATATATATATATATATATATATATATATATATATATATAATCCAGGGAGATTTGTGTGTGAGAGGGGAGGGGGCAGAGCTGGTCAGAGGCCACCTGGCCTTCTCTTAGACTATGACTATAAATGTCCTAAACTAGTCAATAAATAACACTGTTTCATGTTTTATTCAAATAAATGTTTTAAAAAAATTCAGTTGCTTTCGTTACAAAAATTCAATTTTTCTAAAAAGACACAATTCTTAAACACAAATTTTGATCAAATATTTGAGAGACAATTGATCTAATTTTTTTAAATCTAATTTTTTCAGTAGACCTAAAATAAAATAATGATTTACAATTAAACTTTTTACTCTGAACTTTGGGCCATTCATTTTACCTCCAAAATTCATCATGATTTTACAATCCATCATTATTTTATCATACAATTTATCATGAATTTACATACAATATCCATGATTTTATCATACAATATCCATGATTTTATCATACAATATCCATCATACAATCCATCATGATTTTACAAGTCAATACTTTTGAACAAAATTGGATAAACGAGGCATTTACTGAGACAATTGAGTCTTAAGGGTACTATTTTAAGATTCATAAGTAAAAATCTATTGGGATAACAAATTTTAGGAAATTTCTTTAAACCATTAAAAAGATACTATATAAAAAAGTAGCTTTGATGTCACTTTAGATAATCACTAAAATGCAGAGTTAGCATTATTTCAACTGACGATATCTCTGGAGCCCATGTGTGTTTTTAACTAAAATTTGTGCAGTTATTAATTTTTTTAATACAGACTGCAAGTTAGGTAATAAACAGAAGCGTAAGGATGTCAAGGTCTGGATGATTTCATATGGAATGACCCAGCAAGATCCAGCAGATGATGTAAAGTACTTGCAAATATATTCGGTTTCTATCTAAGCGTCTGTAAAAAAATGTAACTATTGAAATAATTCAATTAGCTTCATAAAAATACATAAACAAACAAAAAAACAATTATTTAAATATTTTTATTTAGGCAATTAAAAAAAGAAAAATCAATTATTTGCTATTCTCCTAATATAAAAAAAATTAGTTATAACCTTGTCAAACCAACACGACAACTTAATTCAATCAATCAAAAGTGTAACAGAAGTTATTAAAAAAATAAAGTACACAACATTTTAAATGATACCTGTAAAATATTTATAATCTTAATCTTGAAATTTAAAATATAATTAAAATTTCATAATTATCATAATCATTAGATGAATTTTGAACATCAGCACTTAAATTTCATTGGTATAAATAAATCTGTTTTGAGCTTACTTCAAAAGAAACATTTTAAGTCGGAAAAATTTAATTCCCTAAACAGTAATAATCTTTTTGATTCATTCTTGAATTGCTCTAAGGTAGCCTTGTTACTGTTGACAATACCTGGGAATTTCCTCGATATTGTCCACGAAATTTAATTAAATGAGAGGTTAATTTTAGATTATATTTGAGTAAGACAAAGCTCTTATCTGAAAACTTAGTTGAATACTTAGTTTTATTAAAATAGATTTGAAAGATTTTTGGGGACAATCCCATTTTTGTTTTAAACATAAACAATAAACTTTGACAAAACAAAAAATTGAGTTTACGAAATTTCCACGAAAGTTAATTAAATGAGAGGTTAATTTTAGATTATATTTGAGTAAGACAAAGCTCTTATCTGAAAACTTAGTTGAATACTTAGTTTTATTAAAATAGATTTGAAAGATTTTTGGGGACAATCCCATTTTTGTTTTAAACATAAACAATAAACTTTGACAAAACAAAAAATTGAGTTTATACGCATTTAAAGCACCGAGCGAATAGTACTAGCCCACACAATATTACAGTAAGACAAATAACTGTGAATAATATTTAAATATAATTTTTTCAGGGATGTTATATTTAGAAAAGGTTTAGCCTTAAACATCATTGCAATATTTTTTGAGAGTGTCGTTTCAATACTGTTTATATGATAACGCCACAGTAAATTTACGTATGTTTCCATTTTAATATGAATATTATTAATTATAAGATTTGGTGGTTTAAGAGGAATGTTTTTCAATTTGTTTATTTAGGGAAAAGTATATATTTTGTTTTATCCACATTTAGGGTGGCGAACTTGAGACAAGCTTGACTTGAAACTTACATTGCAACCAATAGCGTCAGAGTATGGGTTTTCCCCTCAAAAAATACTCTGCCGCTATTGGTTACAAAGTAAAGTTCAAGTCGAACTTGACTCAAGTTTGCTTCTTGCATTCCACCCTAAGTGAAAAGTTTGTTACTTACAAACCATTCATTAACTTTACATTACTGTTCATTCACTATTTTAATTAAATTAAAAAAAAAATAGAGCCCTGTGGAACCCCGCAAGTTATGGAATATGGAATTGTGTTACTTTAATCATAGTGCAAAAATTGCTTTCGGTTTGTCAGATACCCTTTGAACCAAAGTAGGTTTTTATTTTTCATTCCATAGTTTTCAATTTTTTTTATTAGTATTTTGTTATTTACCGTATCAAAAGCTTTCGACAGATCAATATAAACTCCTAATGTAAAGCAGCCAAAGGCATTACATATTTGAAAGTTCAACTACTGCATGTTCAGTGGAATTTTTTTCTAAATAAACAAAATTGCCTGCAATACAACATGTCGTTCTCAGTTAAATGATTATATAGATTATATAAATGATTATACATTATTCTCTCTAGCGATTTTGAAAAACAAGCAATTTTTAGATTGTTTGCTAGTTTGTTTTCCCCAAATTCAAAATGGTTAATTTTAAAACGATGGTTTTTTAATACTGAGTCGATTACGTCGACTAGATGGATAAACAATATGCCTGCAATTTGATACATTTCCCAGTGAGTTTTTATAAACCATCACGACTTGCATTTTTTAATTTATATGGATCGTCATCATGAGATACAGGTTGTTTAATTGTTTTGATATACAAATAACTTCTCGCGTAAACTAATGCTTCCCCGAAAAGGCCTTCCAGAAAGCAAGTCTAACGTTTAAAACAATTAGTAAAATATAAACGATAAAAAACCCAGATGCGTTCTTATTTCTTTTACAACCTATTTAACCTTATATTTATATATTTCTAGAACAAAACTTAGAGAAATTACGTAAAATTGTTTACTGTTTATGTTATAAAGTTACTGTAAAAAGTTTTAGCAGATCGCCTAGAAAAATACTTTTTAAACGCAATTATTATAAATGTTAAAATTAAACGCAATTATTATAAATATGGTTCATACAAATCCTTAAAATTAAAAAGTGCCGCGTTAAAAATGTAAATCTGCGTTGAAAATTAATTTATTTACAGACAATCGTAGTATAACTTAAACTTTTTTCCGACTATTATGTAACACGCAATTATGTTTAACACTGGATTCAATATATTTGTGACGGAAAATCTAAACTTTTCATAGTTTTTATAAGATTTTTCATAGTTTTTTTAATAATATCGATAATCGCGTAATATCGATAATCGATCGGCTAAAGGCTAAAAAAAAAAAGTTCTGCTCTTTTATGCCAACAAAATAGTTTGAGTTCCATCATTAAACCAATGACTTAAAATACAATAACTTTTTGTTTGTTAATTGCAAAAAGTAGAACTACAGCTTAACAACGGTATCAAAAATTAAAATCTTTTTTTTTTTTAGATTTTTGTTTTTAGAGATAATTTGATTCAAAAACTTTATAACCCCAATTTTTTTATAGTTTTCATTTTATAACTAAAATATTCTTGAAAGTAACTAGTGTTTTTTTGATTTAAAAACAAAATCAATTATAGCATTATATTACCCTAATAGTGTGCATAATTTTGAATAGTAAATGTTGATCAAACAAAAAATATGCCTCCCACCAACAAGTTAACTTTTAAGAAAAGAAAAAAAATTTTTTTTTTTAGCTATTGACAATTTTCAAGACTTAACTCGTCAATTTTCAAGACGGAAATTTAGTTTTTCAAAGTAGTTTATTGTTTTGGAAAACCCTTTTTGCATTACCATTAAATTAGATAATTTAAAAAAAGTACTGTCACAGATTTATTATGTCAAAGGTGGGTCGTTTCCCAGTCATTAAATTTCCAGTTACTATAGTTTTATATTCTTAGTTTTGAATAATAACGGTCTTGTTTATTAATACTTTTGCAAAAGAACGGACGTGATGGAAACATTGATGCACATGATTATTAAAAAAGGTTAAATCGCTAAGTCGTACAAAAAAAAAAATTTTAATTTTGTGGTTTAAAAGTTGCATAAGCTTTCGACTGATAATAATTTATCGATAAGTTTGTTGTTTTTTAATTGTTAATGTTTAGCTTTAACTTATGGTATTTGTTTTGTTTTTATTTTCTATTTTAAAAAAAATGTTGAAGCACCTAATAATATAAACAAGCAATCAAATATTAATTATGAGTGGTTCAGAAATAGCCAGTCTTCGACAAGAAGCCGAAAATTTAAAGAATCAAATCAGAGATGCACGCAAAGTTGCTCAAGATACAAACTTTTTATCGGTTGCTCAAAATGTAGATCCAATATGCAGAAAACAAATGCGAACTAGAAAAACTCTGCGTGGTCATCTTGCAAAAATCTATGCAATGCATTGGGCATGTGATTCAAGGAGTTTAGTAAGTGCTTCACAAGATGGCAAGCTTATTGTTTGGGACTCATATACAACAAATAAGGTACATGCTATTCCACTTCGATCCAGTTGGGTTATGACATGTGCATATGCTCAGTCTGAAAATTATGTTGCTTGTGGTGGCCTTGACAATATATGTACAATACATAATTTAAAAACAAGAGAAGGAAATGTCAGAGTAAGTCAAGAGCTACATGGTCACACAGGTTATTTATCTTGTTGTAGATTTTTAGATGATACTCAAATTTTAACAAGTTCTGGAGATACAACTTGTTGTTTGTGGGACATTGAAACTGGACAACAACTAACATCATTTATTGGTCATACTAGCGATGTTATGAGCCTATCTCTTTGCAATGATGGTGGCCGAACATTTGTATCAGGAGCATGTGATGCAACTGCAAAGATATGGGATATACGTGATGGAATGTGTCGTCAAACATTTACTGGTCATGAATCTGATATAAATGCAGTTTGTTATTTTCCAAATGGGTTTGCTTTTGGAACTGGTTCTGATGACACTACATGCAGACTTTTTGATATACGATCAGATCAGGAATTATTGTGCTACTCACAAGATAATATTAATTGTGGAATTACTTCTGTGGCTTTTTCTAAAAGTGGACGCCTGTTATTTGCTGGCTATGATGATTTTACCTGTAAGGTTTGGGATACTTTGAAAGGCGAACTTACTGGTGTTTTAACAGGTCATGATAATCGTGTAAGTTGTTTAGGAGTGACTGATGATGGAATGGCTTTAGCCACTGGTAGCTGGGATGGCTTTTTGCGTATTTGGAATTAAAACAATTTTCCAATTCTTTTACTATCTTTATGTACATAAACTCTTTACGATGTAAATATATTATATACGAATTTTAGTTTTCTGTGTATCTTACCCATGTAAACTTTAACTATGCCAAGTTAATTTATTATTCAATGAGGCGCTTAAAACGTGATTACAAAAGTTTGCTGTGTACACAGTAAATTTGTATTTATAAGTAAATTTTTGTAATTATTATTCAGAGTAAATTATTAAATATTATAAAATAGAAACAATTATCATCTTGTTCAAGCCAACTAATAATCTTATTCAATCTAGTAAAGAAGAGCTATTTTGTAAATGAATAAAGTTTTGTATATTTTTTGAATATTATCAAGCAAGCGTCAAATGCAAACATATTTTTAAATAAATTTATTTTAAAACTCGCATTCCTTGGTTTCTTTTTCGAATTAATTAAAACAAACGCAAGGTACTAACTTATGAAACTGCATGTAGATTACTATAATGGGAGCGTTTTCTGTAATCAAATGATTTAAAATGTTTGCATGGAATATAAACTAAAAAATATTATTAGTTCATTCTTGGGCTAAGATAACCAACAATATGGTGGCTCACTCAATTTTCACTCAACAAAAATATGAGTCACCATTTTGTTGACGAACAAGGTTGAGTGAGTCGCTCAACCTTTTTTTGCCGAGTTTTGGAGTTAAATAGTTAAGAGAGGGCTGTATAACCATACTAAAAGTAGCCTCCTCAACTGTAGTGGCCCCGGTGCGGTAAATCGAATTAATAAAAGCGTCAGTCAAAGTTTACTCATCACGTCCCAGTAAGCATAGACCAATTTTTAAAATAAGCTTTTATACGTTATTAAACGTTTTAAAAACATCCGATCCTTACTGGGATGCGGTTGTTGTCATAAGTACATTATATGTGTAAAGAAGTTAATAATTGATTTTCATTTTTTGTAGAGAATGCTTTTAGCAGAAGAAATTGCTTGTTTTTTGTTGTATTTATGATCGTATTATTATACGATCAAGTCTAGCTAGTACATGAAAAAATTCAAGTTCAACATACAGATTGTATGATTTAGAACCCAAAATAAACCCATCAGTGCATTAATGACTTTATTAAACCATGGTTCAAATAAAAAAATGAAAAGTATTTACTTACATTATTTAATAATGTCAGCATAGTAAAAGCGGCATTCATGCGCAGTATCAATAGAGCAACAATTTTCATATGACAGCTTGGGTTGTTCATACTATTCAGAAATTTTTAGCCTGATTCATTAGGGTAGATTGTAGCAATGTTGTAAGTAATGTTCAGGATTACAGTATTGGTTGAATCAATACCTTTAAGGATGGAAGATCTGACATTAATTGAATGCGTAGTTTTGAGGAAGGGGCAGAAATACAATGTTACATGCCTGACTGGGGAACCTCTGACTGCAAATCGCTCATAAGCATACGATGTTAACGTAGTGGATGACTTTTTTTATAAAACTAACAGTTGTTATCAAAAAAAGAATATAAAATATAAAAAAAAGAACTCTATTCAATGTGAATAGAAACAGGATTTTAAACCAAAATAAACAACTAAAAATTCTATTCAAACGCAGATTAAATTAAAATACGAGTACAACAATCCAAATACAACGGTTGGTACTTCAACTAAAACAATAATTGAAGTACAGTTTAATTAAAACAATACTTGAAGTTTTATGAGCCTATGTTTATTAAAATGTATTATAGTTCATTAAAATGCTACAAAAGTGTCTATTGCTTTACTTTTCTATTCAAAACGTTTATTCTTTCTAACCGGAAATGAATTTAGGAGTCATAAACTATTAGTTTATAAGTGTTCTAATTTCCTCTTAACACTTTTACATAAATAGAATTTATATTTAAAATATATTTACTTTATTTCATTTTAGAAAAGAAAAGTTAAGTTGGTAAAACATATCCTTTATTTATTGAAATTTAAAAAAAATTGTTATTATCATATTAAACGTAAAATTTTATAACTAATGCATTTTTTAATTTTTTCAACATTCTTAACAACATTCTTATTTTTACTGACATAGCAACGCCCTTAGCAACCATCCTCAGACGTGATTTTAAAATTATATTAATGATCAGTTTTTGACTATGATAAATTCTTTAGCTTAGTTAAGTTAAAGTTATTAGTCACTTTTTCAGTTCAGTTTTGGTCTTGTAAAGCGTGTAAATCCATGTTTATATGGATATAACACCTATTTATTAATACACGTTTTTTATTGACAACGTTGAATAAATAATATGCCAAGAACACATTATAGAAATAAAATGAGACCATTTGCTTGTAACCAGTGCGCACAAAAAAAAGATGATCATTTAACAAATAATCAAAACTTTGCATCTGGTTCTTTACAATCAGCAAGTAACTCTAGTTAAGGAAAAATAACATTCAACCCAAAAAATTCTTGAAAACAAAGATGATTATAACATTATTATTAATTTTAATTTATTGAAAACTTTAGTTGAAGAAATGACTGTAAAAATAATATTAAAGTTGAAAATAGTGAAATTAAGCGGCAAGGATTTTGTTTAGAACTCAATCATACGCCTCAAGTTCTTGTCAATGGCATCAAACTTTTAAAACTTTGAAGAGTATCTCTTATGTTCAAAACAAAAACAATGTCGCTAAACATAGTAGCAATAAATTATTTGCAACCAATGTTCAAATGGTGATAGCATTTAGAGAAATTGGTAGAGAACATAGAGCTATTAAATCTTTTACATCATTATTAAATATGTTACCACCTATTTCTTTAAAAGCCTATAATAGTATTACTATTGTTTTGCGTGGTATACATACTAGTGTTTCTAAAGCATCTATGACTAAAGCAGCCATGGAAACAGCAAAAATAAGAGAACAGAAAAATGATGAAACAATGAAATGTACAGTTTCTGTTGAGGGTTTATGGCAGAAGAGACGACACATCTCGCTAAATGGTATTGTTTCTATCATTTTAACTAATAACGGAAAGTGTTTAGACGATGACGTCCTTTCAAAAAAGTCATAGCTGTACAATATGGAAGCATAAAAAATAATCTCCTTAATATATGAACTAGAAACTCAATCATGTTTTCAAGGAAATCATGCAGGTAGCTTTAGTTCCATGGAAGTTATTGGGACTGTTAAAATGTTTTTTCGTTCCATATCTGAATATAATCTTATGTATACCGAATACATTGGTGATGGTGATCTACATTATTTAATCTAGTACAATTATCTAATCCTTATGGAGAGATTCCAATTATTAAGCTAGAATGTATTGGACACATCCAGAAACGCGTAGGTGCTCGTTGCAGAAATATTCGTATAACTGATAAAAAAAAAAAAAAAAAATTATCTGATGGAAAAGGTTTCTCAGGAATAGGTAGACTCAGTGAAAATGTTATCAATACTCTTCAAAATTATATTGATAGGGCTCTTAGGCAAATATTGGTAACATTTGTTTAATGAAAAAATCTATATGGGAAACATTGTTTCACAATATAAACTTTTTTGATGAAAATGTTCGTCATCAGTTTTGTCCACGCAGCAAAGATAGCTGGTGTTTATGGCACGCTGACAAAAAACAGGTGACAAAACTAATAAAAAACCCCTCAAGATTTACAATTGCAATTAAAGATTTATTAATGCCAGTTTGGCATGATTTATCAACAGATTCGTTGTTGTTATAATGTTTGCATGGCCAAACTCAAAATAAAAACGAATGCATAAAAGTATGGTGTGGAAAAAAAATAATTGCTGGTTTAAGTGCGCCGAATAAAATTGCAAATATTGGCATAACGCAAATTGTTACTTCGCTCTTATGCCAATTCACACTTATGCTAGTTTGCACTTGTGCCAGTTTTTGCACTTATGCCACCCTTGTCCTCCCACATATGTAATATATTTTTATATTAATATTAGACAAAACTATGTTACAAGCTATTTTATTTTTTTATTTTATTAAAAAAAAATATTTTTTTCAAAGAAAGTATTATAAATTTAGACTTAAGTCAGTAGAGCGGGTTATGACGCTTCTTTAGGAGCCTAAACAAGTCTCTGCAGACCGAGGTAATGTGGTCTCTACAAGGCAATTAGTTGGCTGAGGATAAACCACAAAACTTTAAGTGAACTCTTCAAGTCTTTGTCGGTTCAACAAACAGCACTAATGCACCTTCTAATATCATGTGCAATTCTGTTCAAAAAGGCTTGATTAACTACTATTTTAATCTAATTTTTTCAAATGATTTTGAAATTTTAGAGCAGCCGTGGCGCAGTGGTTAGAGTTCTGGCTGAGAACCCAGAGGTCCGAGGTTCGACGCCAGCTCTAGCCCAACAAGCGACATTGGTACGGAAGGAGGCGTAAACTTCCTGTTAAATGCTCTCACGCGGTGCTCTATGATAAGACCGTAAGGACTTCTGGGAGCACCTAAATACAAAAAAAAAAAAAAAAAAAAAAAAAAAAGAAATAAAAAATAGTAAATTGTTGTGCATTGTGTTATTTTGAATTTTTGATTTTATGGGTATGTGCCACCTTAAATCATATTTGTTTACAAATTTAATTCATTTTTTAGTTTATATAATATATCATTGAAGTGGATGAAATCTACTCAATTCATCAAATAGTTAAAAAAGATTTTTACCCCCAAAATAAAACAACTAAAAAGATTCAAGCTTCTAATATTTGACTAGCACAACTCTTAAGATTGTGTTGATTAATTTTCTACCCTTTTAATAAAAATAAAGCAAAATAAGATCCTTCTAATAAAAATAAAAATCCAGAATTTAAAGATAAAAACCTCGAAACCTATATTAGGGGGTTAAGGTTGTCGACCCCAATTTGAAACCTAAATTTTTTTTATTTAACTTTATGTCAAACAATTTTATCTGTTCCTGTGGTTAATATTATTTGACAACTCGAAATTAAGAAAAATTAAAACAAAATCTTAGAAAAATTATTATTTTTCTTTAATTTTTAATTAACTTGCTTTTTGCCCTTTTTAAGTTTTTAATCAATATGCCCTCTCAAAAAGCCTTTTCACTCTCAAACGCAGCTTTTTCCCCTCTCAAAAATCTTTTTGCACTCTCAAAGATAATGTAGAAGTTTTAAATAATTCTTCTAAATTTAGCAACAAAAAAAAAAAAAAAGTTTTACAAAAACGGTATATTGAAAACTTACACCTTCACGTTGATAAACCAAAAGTAAAAGGTTATATTATTGATGCATATATTATATGTAACATTATATAATATATAACAATTTACCAATATTATATTTTAATCATATAAAACATAGTTATAAAATGTTTAGTACATCAGTTATTAATTTGGGACAAAATTTCGAACACGCATCGGTTCTCAGAAACTATAGTGCCTCGTCTTGAATCGAACATATTTTGTCAAACAGAAAACTACTACTAGGCCGGGTGAAGAAAAATAAAGCAATTAATTTTACTCAACGATATAAAAAAGTAATTACTTTTACTCAGGAGTAATTGTTCAGCTTTACGCGAATAAAGATTTTCAGCTTTACGCAAATAAAGATTTTAGCAAACTCGCTCAAATTTTTATTTACATCAAGCTAGGAGCAACTCACATCATGCTCACATTTTTATTCACATGAAACTACTCCAAAAACGTAATAAAAATTTGAGCAAAATGACAATAATAGTTTGATAATGACAATAAAAGTTTGAGCAAAATTTCTTAAATTTTTATTAAGGCGATTAAAAGCGATTGCTTTTTTTAATTCACCGGTTTATTAAGATATGATTCTATTATAAAAATAAAGCTGTTGCTCGTTTTAAATAATAACTAAAAAATATATATTCGTATATCAAATTATTTACAAGGGCGTAGTTAGAAGTAATTAGTAACAAACTATTAACAAGAATGAAATAAAATATTAAATTAAAATAACGTTATATACATATTTTCTCAGATTTTCTAGATGTTTTAAAAATTACTTTTTTCAATTTTTCTTTTTTTAAACTAGCAAAGTGTTTTATTTGAGTTTTATATGCTCAATAATTGTTGTGTCAGATAGGTATGCTTTTTTCACTATTATTTTCTTATACAACCAGAAATATAGACATACAAAGAGTTTGAAGACGCACACAACCATACATCTGACTAACGAAAAATATCCTAAAATAAAAAGAGATAAAACTATCAAGACAGATCGAAACAAAAATGTTTCGAGGTAAATAGTTTTCAAATGCATTAGAAAATTTAAAAAAGATAAAATGTAACTTAATAAACTTAAGGGATTCTAGAAAAACAAAATCATTTACTAACCTTCTTTTAAGAAACTATGCATAGTATAATTTCTTTCAATGCTTGTATATAAAACAATACAGCAATGCTGGGAAATAGAGGCTGAGACTCGTGTTTCTTCATTAGTTGCATATCTTTACTAATCAGAACTCCAATAAAAATACAAAAAAAAGCAGTATAGAAAATATAGTTCGAAAAATGAAAACTAATGAAGGCGGCACGCGCCATTTTAAATTTTCATTGTTCGACAAGCGAGTGCTTGTACTTTGCAATCTCCAAAGATAGATAACTTTATTTTTTGTTATATATATTAATAACTAATTGATCCAGGGAAAAATTAAAGCGAGCATGAGAACACTGTAAGCTAACTTTATTAGAAATAAGTAAACTTTGAACCCTTTTATAAGTATAAAACTGTTGACATAATTTTTCTTTTAAAACTCCCTGCAAACAAGATTTTAAAAAAATTAACATTCTTGCTAATTTTTTTTAACTATATTTGTTATTTATGTCAATTAAAAAAGATTCTTTTTTTTTTTGTGCGTATTTTTATAAAATCCTAATGAGCAGCAAATGAAGTAAAACGAGCCTCAGCCTCTATATCCCAGCCTCTATTGTGCCTCTATATCTCAGTCAGCCTCTATATCTCAGCCTCTATATCTCAGCGTTGCTCGATCGTGTTGTCATAATTCTTTAATAATCTAAAAAAAATTAAAAGTTATCAACTTTCAACAAACAATTATGTATATGTATAGTATCGGCTTTATTTAGAGTAAAAGAAATTAGGGGAAACGAATTGTCCAAGAAATAAAAACGTGATTAACTATCCATTAAAAAGCAGTTAATCACTTAACACCAAGGCCAGCGAAAGACTATGTGTGAGAGTGAGAGGCCAGCGCAAAGACTATGTGCAAAGGGATGCGTGAACTCCTAAGCAAAAACTTTTTTTTTCAGTGAATCATCAAATTTAAACATATAAACTTAGTTAGAAGGCCTATTTTTGGAAATTCGGACTTATTAGCCCAGTCAACTATTTCAGTCCATAAATTTGGATCACTCCTTCTAAAAGAAAAAAAAACTACTTGGGTCAGCCCTGTCTGTCTATTGCGTTTGGGTTATAATGGGTTATAAGTTGATTTATCTTAAAATTTTTTTATAGTAATTTGTTTCAATTACATTTCACATTAAAATTTTGCTAGGTAATATATACAAACTAAAAAAAAATAAAAACCTAAACTTTTTTTAAAAAATAAAAACCTGAAAAAATTGAAAAACTGTATTTTTAACGTTTTTTTTACTTTTTTACTGTGATTTGTAAAGATGTGTAAACAACCCAGTTGGCAAAGTTTTAATTTACCTTGTTCCATATAAATAATTTATTGCTCGTTATTTCATTAATTATCGATCTCAAAATTCTAACATATAAAGGGTTAGTTTACGATACACTTGACGATACATTTAGAGTGAATGATATCTTAAAAAAAAAAAAAAAATAGGGGTATGGCCCCCAAAACAGCAAAATGTCAAATACAGGACAACATCTTAAGATCAACGCTTTCTTTCCTAGTATTTGTTACTTAATAATTTTAAAAGAAAAAGGTATTTCTTTGTTACCAAGTGTTTAAATAAAATGTAAGAAGAAAAAATTTGAAAGTTTTTTATTGTACTTTGTATAGTTTACAAAGTAAATATTCCCAGGTATAAACTAAGAATCAAGCCACTAACAACACTAGCAATTATTACTTTTTTCTTTGGTTCTTAAATGGCCAAATAATGTTTGCTAACTTCTCATGATTGAAATTTCTTTCTTTTTTTGTTGGATATCCTCCAACATGGAAACTACTAGAATTATTGTTATAACAGATGTTGCATGGAGCTCATTAAAAAATTCAATAACTTTAGGAACAGTCTCTATTGGCAAAGTATTGCTTATAGCTGTTCATTTAAAGTATTGCTTATAGCTGTTCATTCAGTAAAAAAGAATTATATAACTAAAAGGAAAATAGAAATGTCAAATTTACCTTTTAACATCTTTCACTCAGTGCTGGATTATAGGAAGGGGGCAGTTCTAACTGAACACAGCACTTTTAGGGGCCCCAAAATTGTCAAGAACTTTATTTTTAATAGTCATTTTTACACTGTGGCACATAGAAAAAGGCCCCCAGAAGAAAAATAGCTAATTAAATATATATTTATAAATATTGATGAAAAAAATGTTTTAATAATAAAAACATTTAGTAGATAATGTATTAAAGAATATAATTTGAAATAAAGATAAATGTCAACAACAAGAAGAGTGTTGTCAAAGACTGACATTCAATTCTTTGAAAATAGAAGTTTTAGTTACAAACATAAATCACGCTTAGGCATTCAGCCTTTTGACTCAAAAACCTTATTTTACAATTTAGTTATGAGGAACGATTTTGTAAGAAAATTAACTTTTCTATTGCTAGAAAATAAACTAAATTTCCTCCAGTAATTAACTAGAAAAAATTTAATTCTGCTCTGGGTTATTTACACACTCCACTGGAATGTGCAAATTTATTTAAATATACTTTAAAAAAATAGTAAATCCAGGACCTATCAAGACCCTTTAAAAATGTAGGACATTTCTGGACTGTGGGCACTATATTCTACATATAGTTAAAGTTTACTAACATCTGTTTTTAAAAATTGACAATGTAAGATAGAAGTGTGTCAATCATTAAAATGATTGTAACCAGGGCTTTGGAGTCGGAGTCAGAGTTGCAACATTTTTAGCAGAGTCGGAGTTGCTAAACAAAATTTCGACTCTGACTCCAATAGTAAAACTTCTTGGTATTGCACCTGCATGTACAAAACATTAAATTAACCTTATGTTCATACTAAACTTCAAAGAAAGTTTCATAAATTTAAAAAAATTTTTTTTTTAACTTATCAAGTAATACCTTTTAAAGAATTCAAAGAATTTTTCAAAAGTTTTACTTTGGAGTTAGCGTCGAAGTTGTACTCAAAAAATTTCAACAACTGGAGTCAGAGTCGTTACTTTTTTTTTACAACTCCACACCCCTGATTGTAACATTGGCAACCTGGTTGCTTGCTGGTTGTTGTTGGTAATCTGAAGTTTCATACTAATACATTAATAAACAGTGTAAGTACCATAATTGTTTTTTTTCCATTAACTTAATGCATTACATTACTGTAAAATGCTTAGATCATGAAATTTCACTACTAATGCAGCATAAATAAAGATTGTTGTGTTATAATTTATAGAACTGATTGTATATATTCTAAATTATTATCTTTTTATGTTTTTGAAATTATTGAAATACAAGTGTTACAAAATTTTTTTATACAGAAATTTTTTTGGATGTCCGGAAAAACTGAAAATGAAGAAAAATATTAGGAATTCCGGAAATATCTGGAAAAAGATAATACCTGTATTAGCTAATTCCAAATACAATTTCAAAAAATCAGCAAACCTTGTGTCTCACTAGATCTTGATAAAAACTCCCACAAGACCAGGCCGAATGCATATGCGCCTATAGCAAAATGTAAGTCAAAAAGCCTCAGGGCAAAAATTAATGTCTCCAAAATTTCAGGAGCCATATAACGATTAGTTTTTTTTTTTTTTATTTCTTTCTTTCTTTTTTTTGTTGTAAATCGTGCTACAACCCTCTCTCAACTCTTTAAATCCGAAACACGAACCTTGACAAGCAAGACCGCTGCGCAAAGAAATTAAGTTGAGCACGGTACTTCCAGGGACGTGGTGGGAGTCGAACTCCGAACCTCTCGCTTACAAAGCAAGCGCTCTTACCACTATACCACTACCGCATAAGTTCCACCCTACACAAAATGTTGATACAAATGTATAAACATATAAATATCATTTATATATTTATACATCTATTTATGTATTTATATATTCTAAAGATTTTGATACTTTATTTTTTTAAAAACAAAAAAAAAAATTTATTTGTATATATTATATACACACAAGAAAATATGTTTTAAAAAAACTACATTAACAAATTACTATTACTAGCAAAACAACGTTTCTGCTAGTAATAGTAATCAAAATGACATGTTGTCAGTTAGATCATTTGCAACATGTAACCGAAAACTAACTATGAAGTTGAATACTGCTGCATGTCCAAAAACCGGGTCACGGGTCACATAAGGTAAGGGTCACTAAAGGCTAAACTTCAGGATTTAATATAAACTATTTAATATTATTATTATAATTATAAAATAAATATTTACTGATTGCAGGTGAAAGAAATCTTAATTAAAAAAACTTTAATGACGCCAAGTACTAAAACTCTTAGAAATTAAACAGGCTTGAATATATTATCAGGTCTGCAGATTGCCATATATATTATGAAGACTATTTAACCTCGACTATTTAAACAACAAAGTCGGTCTTTCTTATTATGCATTTATTCTTTTGTTTTAATTAAACAAATTCTAAGCTTTAACATATTTTTTTTATCATTCTGTTTAATATGAACACAATATGTGGCAGTATGGGATCCCTTTAGGAAAATATAAGAACTAATTCTTTAAATTGTCATGTTATCAATAAACAAAACAAATAAAATACAATAAACAAAACAAATAATATTATTAAAGTACCCGAAATTTAGCTTTTTCTATATCAGCATTATTATCAAATGCAAATTACGATCCAAAATTACTAATGCAACAAATTAAATTATTTTTTATTAAGATATTACTACTTTCAAAGTCTCAGTTAGCTATTGAAGGTTTTTTAATATTTTCATGCAAGTAAGAGAGACCATTTGCAATACTTAAAGATAATTTAAATAATGTTTTAAACCAAAAAAATTTTAAGTTAAATAATCTTTTAGACATCCATGTCAATTATAATCCAATATTGAATACAATTATTTTCAAGTCTCTTTTTCAGCACTATGGAAGTTTAGAATACTTTCATGGTGTAATATATAATTAGAATTAATTTTTCTCTCAGTTTCCCAAGAATCGTTGCAAGTGACTAACACATTACAATTTTATGGGTAAGGACAATCATTGCTTCTATTTTTGTAATCCATGCGAATGCAATAATTATTGCAACCCCCCAAAAGCGCGATAGAATTATAGTAACATTTTATATAGGGTTTTCTATAGGGTTGAGAGGGGTAGGTAACATAAAATTTCAAAATTTCAAAAATGTTAAAAAAACTTCTTAAATTATAATAGCCTGCTCTACTTTAGGGAGATAAATAAAGTAATAAATAAATAATTATATTAACGTTTTATTTACAAATAAATAATATAACAGTAGTGGTTGAGCTTTCAATTGTTAGTCAAGTAGTACCAAGTTTGATACTTCTCGCTTATGAATTTTCAAAACAAACAAAACAAAAAAAATGAAATTGTTTTGATTATTTATAAATTATATAACTATTATTGATAAACATATTGATTTATAAATGTTTAGATTTGATACATTTCGAGTAGTGCTTTTATACTAAAAATATTTTTTACAAAGAAAAAAAACTTACTAACTATCCCAATGCAGCAAACTAAAATCAGTGTTTCCATGCTGAAAAAATAGAAATCACAAAATTTTCATTTAATTCAACCTAATTTTCAAATTAATCATGTTATAAAATCATAAAAATGTTAGAAAATATCTTATTTATTTTATTTATAGTCTTTGCGTAAAATAAAATTTTAAAAAAGATCAACAATTAAAAGTTATTCATGTAACGATACTTTTATTGCATATTAAATTGTTAAAACATCAAAACAGCTGTGGTCAAGTTGTAAATGAAAAATATATATAAGTGAGGTAAGTTACAGCGTGCGATCACACCCCATTCCTGCCCATGCCTAATTGAAGGGCCCAATTTATTTTTCCTTTAAGCAATTCATTGGTTGTTGGAAAATTCCTTTTGAAACAAAAAGTAATCTTTATTTTCTCATTTGTTTCTTACTTATAAAAGAGCAAACAAGAGAAAGTGTAAGGAAATGCAATAAAGCTATGAATTCATCTATGCTAAAGGTATTTATCACTTCCGTATGGTTTGTAAAAATAGCATTTCTAACACAAACAACATTTTTATTATTTTGTCTGTTTACTATATATAAGAGGTAATCCAATAATTGGTTAACATGCAACTCTGGGTTCTCATTAGTAATAAAGTTGTTTATAAAATATCCTGTGTCCTCTCTTTTTTTATCTTTTATAAACAAATAATAGCGTAATTTTACGTTGAAAATACTTGATGTTTTTTTTATGTACCACAGTTCATAAAGTAATCAAGGTATTTTTTTAAAATAAAGGGTATTTTATATCATTTATTAAACTTCCCTTTCTGAAAATTTCAAGTACATCTGATGTGCACATTCTGAAAATAAGTTGCACCAAGCACACAAGGTATTGTTGTGAATATACAAATGTTAAAAGCGTTGATACTCTAAGTTTGCATTATAAAGTTTTGCGGATCACAAGGCATTTTTATTGAAATCTGATTGGTGCAAAACAATTATTTTCTTATTTTGCTTAAAAACTTTGTAACTTTGTTACAAATAGTTAAAAAAAACAATTTACTAATTAAACTAATTTGTTGGTTTTATTGAATAACCAATAGATTTTGATTTTAGTTTTTTTTTATAAGTTGTTATAGAAAAAATATAGGTAAAATGTTTAATTATTTTATTTTTTGTAGACACATTAGACTCTATATTTATTTTTACATTTCAAACTCTATATTTAGTTTTACATTTATAACTCATTTCATAAATATATCCGGAATTACCCAGAAAAAGATAATCCCTGATATTTATTCAATACACTCTAAGCTTTATTTTGATATTTAATTTGTTATTAACATGAAAAAAATTTAGTGAGATGAACATGTTTTTGGAAAATTGGGGTCCAACTTTTCATAGTGTTTTCATATATTAAAATCTTAAAAATTGTACAACTTTCAAAATACTTGAACTACAAAAATTTTTTACAGCATTACATATAGGGTGACAAAGCCCCATGGGGCATTAAGCCCAATTTCCTCAGTTCATATCATGAAATGGCTAGTGTTTTTGTATTAAGAGAGAAGGGTATTAAGCTCTACATGAAAGAGACTAACTAACCAATAAAGAAAATTTCATAATCATTCTGGGGTTTCTAACCAATGGCATTGATTTTTTTATCTAGTTTCCAGTTTTTTTCAAACTTGATGAAAGTAGTCCAAAAAAAAACAGAACACCTCAGCAATGCTGGAGCCAAGTCTAAAGACCCTGAGGTCATTAAGAAATGGTTTTTAACTAATCAAGAAGACTCTAGAAGATGCTGGAGTTAGCAGCCTACAAAATATTCAACTGCGATGAAATAGGTTTTGTCACTGACCCAAAGACCAAAGTTGTGTAAACAGAAAAAGATACAGCTAGAGTGACCCAGAGTATTGGTGGCTCAGGATATGAGCAAGTAATAGTCAATTGTGCATGCTCTGTAAGCTGCCAGATTCTGGTACCTTATGTGGTATACAAGGGAAAAAATCTGTCTGCGAGTGGGTTCAGGGTGGCCCTGATGGAACTGCTTATACAACAAGTAAGAAAGGCTGGATGGAGTCACCTTATTTTTCGGACTGGTTTCATAACATTTTTTTTAAGAACACTAAACCTCTTGAAAGCCACAAAAAAGTCCTCATATTTAATGGACATGCCTCACATGTTAGCTTGCATTTTATTGAATCAGCAAACAAGAATAATGTCATCCTCCTATGCCTGCTCTCTCATCTGACCCATCTTCTCCAACCTCTGGATACATCAGTTTTCAGACATGTGAAGACCAAATGGCAAAGCCTGCTATTGAAATATGCAAGAAAACACTATGGTCCAGTACCAAAGAAAAATTTTCCTGGTCTGCTGCAAACCCTTTTCCAAAGTTCTTTTACAGTAAAACAAGTGAAAAGTGGTTTCAGAGGTAGTGGCATTTTCCCTCTTAACAAGGATGCCATTGATACAAGTTTATTTAAGCAGCGTCATATATCTCTGTCACATATATCTCAGTACATATATCTCTGTCAACATCAATGTCAACTGCAGCATTATCAACAGAATCATCACCTCTATCTTCAGCACCTGCAGAAAGACCACAGACACTATTGTCTATTCATCCTTAGCAAAGTCATCTATTAGAGATTTTTTTTTCTTAAAGAACTGCAGCCCAAATTTACAGAAAATTCTGGTTATGATAAATCGGCTAGGTCTCATCAGGTCTTGCTACAGAGAAACTCTAACAGGTGATGACGGTTGAAGCGACTGTGAGAAGAAACAGCAAAAAAGAAAAGGCACAAGAAAAAAAAGAAATATTCTAGCTGGAGATGATAGGGACAGTGATAAGAATGACAAGACTATATGTCTAAAGTGAGGTATTCATTGGAGATAAGGAGAAAAATGGGTGTGCTGTGACTTGTGAGACGATAACTAAAAAATATCCAGTTTGAATTTAGTATTTATTTACTTATTTTAAAGAGAGAAAAAAAAAAGTAACTAAAAACATGGGGTTTAACACTTCCTATAACACTGTTAATGTTGTTTTACAGTTTACTTTTTAGATGCTATGAATTAAAATAACTTTAAAAGAGTAAACAAAAAAATAGTATGTATACATAATACATAGTTTTTTGTTTACTCTCTTAAAGCTATTTCATTTTAATGTCGAAAGCTTTTGAAATTTGACTATTCAAAAGTAATCTACTAGTCAAAAGTCTAAATAAGTTTTTTCCATATTTTTATTTTATTTATTATAAATATAAATAATTTATATTTATCAATATTTGATTTTTTTTTCTATTAGTTATTTTTATTTATATATAAAGAATAGTAGTAAATCAATTGTCATCAAATTTTTTCATTTTTTCAATTAGTCAAAGTCGAGGACAACACCAGTAAAATTAATTAAATTATAACTAACTTAAACAAAATTAAAAAAAAAAAAACTAAAAAAATTTACATTAATACAGTATTTGCTGTATATAATTGTTAAAATTTCCAAATGGTATACCATGTTGATGATCAACATGGTATACCATTTGGAAACTTCAACAATTGATGTTTACAAATTATGAAAATGTTTGTTGAAAATATCAATAAATATAAAAACTTTTCACTTACTTATAGGTTATGATGGATTTTCGATAAAAGTTATACACTCAAACAACGCAATGGGTAGTTTCTATGAATTATAAAGAAACGAGGTTGCCAGGTTTTTATCCGGCAATAAAAAATAAACCAGAAATAAACCAGAACAACAATAACATCAACAAAAAAAGGAAGTAAAGTAGAACTGTATTATTCATAATTTATTTGGTCAAGTTTTAATCTCTAAAACATTTAATAAAGTTCCGCCAATACGTTAAGGTCGTCTTCATTTTCGCAGTTGAGTTAATTTTATTTCAAACCTTTGAAATCATTGATTCGAGAATGTTAAAGTCTTTACAACAAATCTTTCGGCTCATTAAATAAGATTTCATGCGAATGACTGCATCCAACACTTGGTTTGACACTCTGTTTCTCTGTTTGCTTTTCAAATAGGTAACCTGTGAAAAGACTCTCTCAACAAAACAGTTAGAAACAGGAACACACAAACAAGCAAGGCAGTAGTCGGAAATATCGGGAAAAACGGGATGTCCAAAAATGTCGACATATGTCCTTTGTGTTATAGTGTGTTATCAGACACACTTTGACAGCCAAAATGATCGATTGCTGTTCATCCAGCAATGAATTGCTGCTTTAAGCTGTTGACTGAAGGCGATTTAACAATTTCTTCTGGTAGAGAGTTCCGTAAATTCGCTACTCGATTAAAGAAGAAGTTTTCTCTGTACTTGTGTTTTGTCAATTCCTTAGAAGTTTTAAAGCAGTGACCACTTGTATGAGGTCACTACTTTAAAATTTATATTTCGTATTTGTTTTCCAATTGTCAACAATTGGAAAACGAATGCCTTTTTCTAATTTACCAATAATATTCATTTGTTTATGAACATAAAACCTAAAATATTTACTTAATATTTTTTACACTGTAACGTTCTTAAAAGATTTTGAAGACAAGATCGTTGATATCTTTTATCAGAATTTATTTGTAAGGCTTTTTTTTTATAACTATATATATATATATATATATATATATATATATATATATATATATATATATATATATATATATATATATATATATATATATATATATATATATATATATATATATATCAGGGTGTTCCAAAAAACAACATTTTTGAAAATAATCTGCTCTCACCCTCTAAATGTGTTCTATCTAATACAAAAATACTAGGTTTAAATTTTTTTTTAATAAAAAATATTAAGGGGTTCCTCAAGACCCTCGAATATTTAATGGATCCCTAATATTTTCGAAAAAAAAGTTTTTCAAAAATATCTCAACCTGGTACTCAAATGAAGCAAAATTATATAAATATTATAAAAATAATATTCATTTCGAAATATATTTTACTTATTATTCAAAATTATTATAAAAAAACATGAGAAATACATTTTTTTTTTAATTTCTTTTTAAAAAACGCAAGTTTTTATGTAATAAAACCAAAAATAACAATTTTGTTTCGAAATGAATATTATTTTTAAAATTTTTATATAATTTCGCTTCATTTGAGTACCCTAATATATATATATATATATATATATATATATATATATATATATATATATATATATATATATATATATATATATATATATATATATATATATATATATATATATATATATATATATATATATATATATATATATATATATATATATATATATATATATATATATATATATATATAGTTGATATTCATTTAAAACATTCAATTCTTTAAAAAGTTATTTTGCGTTCGAAAAGTATTTTTATCATGTGTATTTTCTAATACGGTAACCTTAACGAGCAATGTATTAATCAGTTGTTTGAATAACCCAGTGGATTTAAAAAAAATCCAAAATTTCATTTTTTCCATTACAATAAAAAAAACTCCTTATAAAAGTATAAAAAACAATTCAATTTTCAAATTTGTAAAGTACTGGGCTAGACATTAAATTTGTTTAGAGGCTCAGAACGACATTTCTGAGCATCGTCTTTCTTAACAAACATTCTATAGTGAAATTTCAGTGAACCTATATAGACATTTTAAAAGATCCATTGTAATTTTTGCTCATCGGTTACTTACTGAACCGTTAGTGGCAGTCGCCACTAACGGTTAAAAGACGACTAGCCACTATATCACGCGTTGAAAAATTATCGGCTGGCCATTTATAGCGGATGTCATTAGTCGTCCACTAAGAACAAAAAGTGAATTAAAATGTCTATATAGCTCCACTGATAATCCGCTGTAAAAACGTTTGATAGATTGGTGGTAAATTTTGTCTAATTGTATGAATCAGTATCATCGATATTTTTCTTTTTCAAGATACCGTCAATTTTGTAAAATTTGAGTAATGATTCCACAGCATACTTTTGGATTTACCGTTTTAGTGAACACTCTTATACCAAGGCACTATACCTCAGACAGAGGATTAATTTTAACTTATTAGTTACTTAAAAAAAATTTCTCGTTTTTTAAAGCTGCCATAACTGCATTTGCCGACTAACTAGTCAAAAAAGGTCACATTTGCCGACTAAAAATCATTGATGAAGGGGTGTAACACCCCCACACACCCCTATCGCGCCGGCCTTGTAAGTGTTATTAAAAATACAAAAGAATGTTTTATTATTTAAGTTTAATAAATATCATTTAACTGTGAAAATATGTTTGAAGCATGTTGTTATGAATTTTAAACATAAATATCTGACTTTGATAAATGTTTAGTTCATAAATATTTAAAACATTAATTTTTTTAAGTAAAAGCTCGGCGCATGCATATCTACCTGCATTTAAAACTAACTGGCTCGCTTGCTTTTATTTGCGATAAAATTTTTTTAAAGAAGATGAATAATTACTTGCCCATGTTATATTGCAATAACTAATGTGACTATAAATAAATGAAAAATACAAGCTTTTTAAGCACATTGTAATCAAAAGCTTCGTTTTAAAAAGAATCTCAAGAGCTTTTGAAATGTTGTTTTCCACTAATTGGATATGATTCTTCCAATTTAAATGATCGTCAAATATTATACCTAGGACTTTCATTGAATGAAATCTTTTTACTTAAATGTTGTTTATAAATAAATCAGAAAGTTTCAGGGGTATGTTGTCAGTTTTTCGAAAGTTTTGTGAACAAAATATATTTTGTTTTATCAATGTTAACGGACAGTTTATTGGCTTTAAACCAATTATTGAGATTTATAAGCTCTGTGTTTACAGTAGAAAAAACAAATTTTAAATTAGACCCCGAAAAAAGTAAAAATTAGTATCATCAGTAAAAAAGAACAAAGTTAAAACAAAGAGAAACAGCTGACCTGCACTTTTATTTGTCTGAAGCATGTTAAAAGCTAAACCAAGTTCTTCAATGGAAAGAATTAAAATCCGAATGGAAAGTTCATAATAGAATCTGATTTTTTCAAAAAAGACTGGAATGTTTTGCTACTCGGAGAGATTTCTTGGGCTAAATTTTTCCCAATATTTATTAAAAAATTATTTAGTCTCTCAGCAATTTTTTATTATTATTAAAAGTTTCACCTACATCAGTTTTCAGTAGATTAGGTTGCTAGATGTAATTTTTGTTTTTCCTGTTAATTCTTTAATTATAGTCCAAGTTTTTTTTAGCGTTTCCAAATGATTTCTGGAGTAGACCAGAATAGTAGTTTTATTTAGACTGATTTTGTTTTTTCGAAATAATTTTTGTATTTTTTATATTTAGTTTCGTTTTCATAGTTGTTGTTTTTTAAAAAATAGTAGTTTTATTTAGACTGATTTTGTTTTTTCGAAATAATTTTTGTATTTTTTATATTTAGTTTCGTTTTCATAGTAGTTGTTTTTTAAAAAATAGTAGTTTTATTTAGACTGATTTTGTTTTTTCGAAATAATTTTTGTATTTTTTATATTTAGTTTCGTTTTCATAGTTGTTGTTTTTTAAAAAATATTTTTACAGCTTTTTTTTTTTTTTGATGATTTTAAAAGAACTTTAGTCTTAGAAATCCACGGGTTATTCACACAGTTTTGATTTTTTTATTATTTTTTGAATTTTGGGTAAAACTTTATCATCATGCCTTGAAAAAACGCAGATAAAGAAATTGTATGCGCTGCACGTGTCATTGTAATTATTTATTAATTCCCAATTGATTTCATGCAAAAGCTGTCTAAAGATCTCAATCGAGTCTTTATTTGCATGCCTTATGTATACTGTTCTGGGTTTTTTTATACAACATTTAGTATTTGTTGTTAAAAAAACAGGAAAATGGTCATTAATACCCGTTTTTTATTATACCACAGTTAATTGTCGAGTTACTATAATTATTAGTGATAATACTATCTATGATAGATGATGTTTTTCGAGTTACACGCGTCGGTTTGTTAATCATGGGGTAATCACTAAATTGAGAAAGAGTATTTATAAAACTTTTAACGAGATTATCAGTGTTTAAATTTATCAAGTTTAAATTAAAGCCACCGAATAAGTATATATATATTTTTTGAATTAATATTCGCCTTAAGTCGTTTTTAAACTGATTGTAACTGCCATTGGGTGGTCGATATAAAGCTGTTATAATCGAATTTTTTTCTTCTAGGTTTATTATCTCTATAGTTAATGATTCGCAATTCGAGTTATTCACACTTAGGCTATATATTTTTTTTATAGATCAACGAGTTGTGAATAAATATGCATACGCCTCAATAAAAATTAACTGTTTCCGCCATTTATAAAGACAAGAAAATAAAAAATAGAAAGTTAAATAAATAAAAAAAGCAATACTTTTACTTTAGAACATTGAGTATTTTACCGCGTTTTTTAATTGAATAATTTTGTCATACCTCACTGCAAGGTTTTCTCCCTTTAGACGTCGTTCTTTAACTTCCGCAAACAATTTTTTTCTTATATCAACTGTCATTTTGGAAAAATATTCGTTAACATATATATTTTTGATCCTTTTAATCTATTTGTTTCTTTCAATGTTTTCATTTTATCTTTATAACTTTTTAATTTCATCACGATTGATCTTGTATGATTATCTTTTTTAATTCCAGTACGATGTACACGTTTAATATCAATTCCCAACAAACCAAGATTTTTCTCAAGA